CGCCTCCCCTCCATCTCGCACATCCCCTCCAAGGTAAACTACCTCGGACGGCTGAATCCAGGGACCCACAGCCCCGTCCCAGGCGGGGGTTGGGTGGGCATGGATGTTCACTGATGTAGAGGGATCCCGGGGACCACTGAGGGAGTCAGGGGCCCCAGCCCTCACCGGGCTCCAGCGGATCAGGTGGTCGGTGCCCGGGTCTCCCACCAGCGCCCACAGCTTGCCGAGGAAGGCAGGCACGGGGCTGGGGCCCGGCTCCGTGGGCAGCGCGGCTGGCGCTTCCTGCATGGCGCAGTCTCGGCCCCGCTAAGCGCTCGGCCCGGCCGCCGCGGGCTTGTCAAAGCCGCTGAAAGTGCTGCGTTTGCCGCCCGTCCCGCCCTACTCCGCCTCCGGGCGCCGGGTCAGGTGGGGGCCACGTGCGAACCGGCGGGGCGGGGCTCAGACCGCGGCCGCAGCACCAGCAGACCGAAAGGGCAGGCTGGGATCGGATGTATGTGGAAGGGTGCGGTGGGGACGGAGATCTGAGTTCGAGTTCTACCTTCCTCGGGCCTGCTGTTTCCTCCTTTGTTTTTAGGGAGAAATGGCCCGTGGCCGGCCTGGTGTGGACTGGGAAAGTCATAGAGGGCGATGGCCGCGGGCACAGTGAAGCCCCGGGTAGAGTGGGCAGATAGGAGCGGCGGAGGCGGGGAAAGCTGGCACCCTCCCGCGGAACCCTGGGGGCGTTGTCATTCCAAGGATGCGGAAGGTTCCGCCCCTGACGCCCGCAGCCGCAACAGTACTGTACAACGTACCTTGTGGTTTCTATCTCTCCCACCCCGGTCCTGACATCTCCTCGGGCCTCTGCCGGTTCCCTGCCCTTCCCTTAGAGCCGATCCCGCCTTTCAGAGGACGCAGAGATACCGCAGGATTTGTTTATTTCACACTCACCCCTGAGGCCTGGCCAGAGCCTGTGCCCTCCCTCCCCCCAAGCTGGGGCCGCGGAGCGAGCCCAACGTTCGCAGAGGAGTGGTGTTCGATGAGGGTGATCCCAGTACAGCGGGGACAGCGGGCGTCTGTAGATGTTGAGAGTGCCAGTGGACTCAGGGAGCCCCGGGCTGGTCCCAACATCGTCTCACAAGCCCCCGAAAGGCACAAGAGACAACAGAGTACTGAAAGAGCGGGCGAGCAGTTGGCGCGCGCCTAGGCAAACCTACCCAGCATCTCAGAGGCCACATGTCTGCTGGAGTGTTGGGTAGCAGGGGGAGCGCTTGCCCTATCACGCCACAAACGTGGGCCGCCAGGGATGTGGCTCCCGCGTTAGTTTGAGTGTGTAGCTGCGCAGGCGCGGGCAGTGCGCGCGGAAGGCGTGCAGCACTGAGGGTCGCACCACGCAGAAGCAGTGCACTTCGCGCAGGCCCACGCAGCGTGCCGCCAGCAACTCCAGTGCGGCGTCCAGCTCCGCCGAGGGGGCTGCGCGGATCTCCAGCGCGCGCAAGGTTGCGGCGTAGTGGCGCGCTGCGAAGCGCACCGGCCCTACAGTGTCCCCAGAGAGGCAGAGGCGAAGTGCAGCCACGGGCACCGCAGGCTGCAGGACGCGCGTCACACTCTCGGCAGGCAGCGCGGGCTCCAGCTCCAGCTCCACCGCCAGCTCAGGGTGGCGGCGGCGCAACGCTGCCCAGGCTTCGTCGGGCAGAGGCGGCGCGCGTGCGTCCTCGGGGCACGCGCACCGCACGGCCAGGAGCGCAAAAGGCGCGCGATCCGGCGCCGCCAGCGCCTCGAGAGCGGTGCGCGAAAGGCTGGCCAGGTGCAGGCCGAGGGCGCGCAGGTGCGGGCAGGCCTCTAGTAGCTCCAGCACAGAGTCCGGCCCCACGCTGCCCACCAGTGTACCGTTGTCCAGGAAAAGGCTGCGGAGCTCGGGGCAGCCGCGTGCCGCCTGCAGCACCAGCGCGTCATCCAGTGTGAAGGGCAATCGCCGCAGGTCGAGGTGGCGCAGCGCGCGGGCGGCCCGGCAGATGGCATGCACGGCCTCCAGGACATCGCGGCCCGCGTCGAAGAGCGGCTTCTCCCCGCGGCACTCCAGGCGTAGGCCTCGAAGTCCAGGGGTACGGCTCGCCAGTGCGGTCAGCAACTGCGTGGCCGCCCGGCGGCTCGGCTCCCTCGAGGGCTCAAACTCCAGACGTAGGTTGTGAATGTGGTCCAGGCAGGCGGACAGATATGGTGGCAGCACGCCTTCTCGCTCACTGTCGCAACTTGGGGTTAAAGCGGTGGAAAAAAGGCTTTGGCCGTGTCCGCGCGACCGGGAGAGAAGTCTCTAGCCATCCCTCAGTCTGCGTTCCAGCTACCATCCCCACTTCCTGCCCCTACCCGCACACCTCCCTGTCCCCGCCAGGCATGCCTGGTTGTCTCACGGTAGCCGCTAATGCTAGGAGGGAACTCCTACCCTATCCCTTTAGAAGACTTCAGATGGGGGCTGGCCCGGTGGCGCAGCGGTTAAGTGCGCACGTTCACCGGTTCGGATCCCAGGTGCGGACATGGCACCGCTTGGCACACCATGCTGTGGTAGGCACCCCACATCTAAAGTAGAGGAAGATGGGAACGGATGTTAGCTCAGGGCCAGTCTTCCTCAGTGAAAAGAGGAGGATTGGCAGCAGTTAGCTCAGGGCTAATCTTCCTCAAAAAAAAAAAAAAAAAAAAAAGACTTCAGATGCTCAGATGCGTTTGCCGCAAGTTGAAACTGTGGCAGAGAGCGCCAATATTTTAGGAACTGCGCTTCCCCAGCGGTCTCTAAGGAGACAGGTCGTGGTTTCTGGACTGCCAGATTCCCATTCTGCCTCTACCACTCCTTAGCTGAGTGACCTGCAGGAAGCGATTAATCTCTCTGCCTCAATTTCCTATCTGTGCAATGGAGATAATAATACTACCTATCTACTATATACGGTTTTCATGAGGATTAAATAAATTAATATGTGTAAGGCACCTAGAACAATGGTTAGTACATAGTAAGCGGTCAATAAATGTTAGTAATGATTATGTTCTTTAATTGGGGGAGAGTCACTGAGTCCCCCAACCCTCGACTCCACGGAGAGAGGGAGAAGGCGGGAGGGCGGCAGGAGGCGAGATGAGGTGAAGCCGGCTCACCTGATGTTCGTGTCGTGCCACACAGCGCTGCAGGTGGCAGCAGCAGCCCAGGATCTGCAGACCCTGGCGGCAGCAGCACGGTCCCGCAGGGGCAGGTGGCGGAAGATGAGCGCCAGCACCTCCTCCGGCAGTTGCTCTCCAGGCTCGGCCATGGCCCAGCGCAGGGTGGTGGCTCCCCTCTGGAGACAGAGGGCCGGCCCTGGGCACAAGAAGGGCAAAGTGAGGAGGGGAACACCGGAGCCTATATGTAGAAATGTTTATGGCCCAGGAGCTGCGACGTAATTTGCAGACCCTAGTGCAAAATGAAAATGCGGGGCTCTTTGTTCAAAGCATTATTAAGAATTTCAAGACAGCGACAGCAGAGCATTTAATCAAGGTATTAAACTAAGCATGGGGCCCTGTGCGACTGCACAGGTCTCAGACTCGCGAAGTCGGCCCTGGATGCCAAAGGCTTCCTGATTGCCCTTTAAGCTATGTTCTCACTAGTTGAACAAATCTACACTTTATGCTATATTAGAAGCAACGCAACCAGGACCTATGCAAGAAGTTGATAAACTCGAATACCCAGATTTTGGATGATGCTGTGGGATCTTTCTGCCGGTTACTAAAATCTTCCCTGGAGAATTGGAGAGTGGCTGCACAGGCCGTGACTCTGGACAACCCCGTTCTCCCTCCCGCCCCCACCCCCCACCCCCCAAGCTCAGAGAGCGGAGCTCGCCTCCCCCTGCCACTTAGAGTTGCCTGGACGGCCCAGACGAGTCTCCATGGGGTCACGGAACTGCTTCCCTTCCAACTTCGACCCTGAGTACTAGGGAAGTACTGGGCCCACGACTCGCCCTGATGGCCATTGAAATAAGGGCATCAGAATCACCCAGACACTTGTTCACAATACAGATTCCACAGCCCCACCTACTAAATTAGGCTCTCCGGGAAGAGTAAAGCCCAGAAAGCTGAATTTCAAGAAGCGCCTGTGACTCCACTGGTCCCGGGTTGAGGAACCCGGTCCTAGCCCCGCCAGTCACTGGAGAGTTAATAGGGCGGGAGTATTAGGGAAGACTTTTAATTGGCAGGGACTACAAGCCAATCAGGAAGCGGAGTTGCGGGTGGGGCACAGCAGAACCCGCCCACAGAAGGGAGGCTCCCTCCCTTCCTCCACCTCGCGGGGGAGATGTCCCGGGTGAAGGCCGAGCGGGGCCGAGAAAAGCTTGGGGCTCTGGAGCCTGCTGGGCCCTGGGCTCAAGTTCCGATCCTGACCCCTGAGCAGCCCAGGCTCTCACTGGGCGGTTTAGGCTCAGCTGGAATTCCGCAGACCCACCCCGGAGCGCGGCCTTTGGGGGGAGGAGGGGCGTTGTTGGAAAGTGTGCGTCCTCTTTGAAGCTGCCAATTTTATTTTAAGGTGCTTGAAGGTTTTCGTACACAACATTTCACATCACTGGCCAGTTTTCTATTTTCCCATATTTTCCAGGCTAACAGTCCCTGCTGGAATTTGCTTCTCGTGTATCCAGGGGCTTCAGATACCCTCGGTCAGGCTTGAATCTGGGACCCTCCAGCACTCCATTCTGAGTGTCACGGAGTAGCAGAGATCAGAGATCATCGAACTCGACCCCTTGGAAGGCACCAGAAAATTCTCGTCCCCAGGGGGCGCCCCCTTCTTGATCTGTCCGTTCTCCGCCGGAGGAAACGGGGCAGCTCTTACCCGAGGCCCTCCGGCCTCGTGAAAGCTGAAAGTCCCCTAAGTCCTTGCCGCGGGCAGTTCTTCCTGACATCTAACCTCGGGCGCCAGTGTCTTACCTGCTCAGCGGACCGGGTGGGCTTTGCCCAGAGTCTGAGAACTGGCGGCGGAGGACAGTGGGCGGGAAGGAACCGCAGGGAGCCCCGGGGGCGGGACGCCAGGGCGGACGGGGCCGCTCTGGCTGGGGCGCCACCCCTGCGCTCCGCGCACACCCGGAAGCAGCGCGAGACCAGTGGAGCCGGGCGGGCGTGGGCATCCGAGCCGGGCCAAAGAGGCCAGGTTAGTGCAGAAGGCGGGTGGGCTTCCCGGTGCCGGCGGGAGCAGAGGCGGATCCTGCTTCAGGAGCGTGGGCGCGGCGTGGTTGTTACCCGCGGCTGCCCAGGCCAGGTGGTGGCGGCGGCCTATTGGGCTGTCTCCATGGAGGCGGGTGAGAGGGTACAGACCTTGGCTCCCGCAGGTTCCTTGTCCCAGCTAGGGGCTTTCGAGGGGCGGTAGGGCTCTGAGGGTGACAGGGCGGGGTGGGGCTTGTTCTGAATGGATCTGTGAGAAGAGACACCATGCCCGACTCAGCCAGTGGCATGTGCGAAACCCCAGCATGAGGGCCGGCTACTGGGAGGCTAGGGAGCCCCCTCGAGAGCTCGGCAGCGGCGCAGCTGAGAAGGGGCGCGCCTGGCTGGATACAGGGAGTCGCAGGCTTCCAGTCCTTGAGGGGCCACGCCCCCAGGCCGTCCCCGCCCTCCCGACCGGCCGGAGGTGGGGCTGTCCTGGGACTGTTAGGCTGTCAACTGGCCGCTGCGGCGGGCTGGACCCAGGTGGTAGGGGCATATTTTCTTGAGTCGGTACCCACGTGTCCCTCACAGTCTCAGACCAGCTAAGTCTTCCCAGGACCCAGCTCAGCCCCGCCCTCAGAGAGGCGGACTCGGAGTGGGTAGGGCGCGGGGCTTCCCGGGGAGGGGCTTCTGTGGAAGGACACGTAGGAAGGAGTCCCCAAAGGGACATTGGGAGCCAAAGTCCCCGGCCTCTTCTCAACCCTGTTATCTGACCCTCTGGTCCTCCAATCTGACAGATCTGTTTGACTTCTCCCATTTGTCCAGTCCTAGCGAGTGCGATGGAGCATCCCCCCTCCTTCAGGTTTCCAGGGCCTCCCTGCAGGCCTGATGGGCAGACTCTGGCCCCGTCCCGCCCCCACTTCCACCCCTTGGGGCTGGACCACAATCATCCAGTCAGCACCCTCAAGTCAGGGGGCTAAGAAGACATGAAAGAGGAAAGGTTTTGGGGGCAGATTCCCACACCCTCCTACTCCCCCGGGCTACTCCCCCAGGGCTCCCCACTTGTCTCCCTACTGCTCTTGGTCCCACTTGTCACCTACAGTCTCACTCCGTTTTTGTTTTGTTTTGCTTTTTAAGAAAAACACTTTTTTTTGCCTTTTTAATACAAAGGAAATGTGTCTATTTTACATAAAGTAGAATATTTACTAAATACAATGAAAATAAAAATCCCCCCAAAACCCCCCCGAAGTAAATAATGCTAGCTTCTTGTTAATTTCCAGACTATCATTTTGGGTAAATCACAAGTATTAATATGTGATCTACCAAAGGTTGGGGCCGGGAGGCGTGCTCAAAAAGCTTGTCTCCTGTACTTAGACCAGGGGTAGGACCATCACCAGATATCATTTCTCTTGCCAGGTCTGGGTGATGCTGGAGGACCCCTGCCCAGTTACTGTCCCAGCTTTGACTCCCCAGTTAGGGTCTGGGGGCAGATCTGAAATGCACCCGGTGCTTTGAGCTCAGGATCCCTACTCCCTCCCCAACAATGTCCAAGGCTGTGCTCCTGGCACCCCTCCCCTGAGGTTCCCTGTCCCTCAGGTAAATGGATGCCAGCTGGGGCCACCACATCTGTTCTGCCCAGAGGAATGATGTCCAGGGTGCTCACAGCTGGGGCTGAGCACCCCTCCTAGCACACTATATGGAAATGCCAAAGACCAGAGAATAAAGAAATATGACTGATGGGGCAGGAGGTGGGGTCTTATGCCCATGTTTCTAGGAAAAGGGTGGGATATTGCCTCAGGTGAAGTGGGGAGGAAGCGGCAGGGCAGTTCGCCACCTGCTGCCTAATGGCGCAGTAACTGGGAGGCCAGTTGAGCTGAGGGTCAGTGCAGTGGTTCCCTGGCTGGGAGTTTTGCCCCCTGGTCTAGGCCTAGGGCTTTGTCAGAAGACAGGTGGAGGAGATACTAGCACCAAGAGGTGCTAGTCTGGACGGCACCTGTCTGGACAGGGGAGGAATTTGTAATAGAACAATTTGAGTTGCATAAGAGCCCAGCTCCAAGGAATTTAGAATAAAATAGGAATGATTTCGCTCACATAACTGAAAAGCCCAAGGTGTGGCTGGAGCCAGGACACAGTGTGGTTAGAAGTACACTTCTTCCTCTCCTGGCTCTGTATCCTTCTGTGTCCATTTCGGTCTCAGCCATGCTCTCCCCAAGCAGTGGCAAAGGAGACCTACCTTTCCTTTCAGCTCAGCCCCAAGGGAAGGAAAGAGCCCCAGTGCCTCTTTCCTATTGGTCCAGCCCAAAGTTTCAGGTTGATTAAGATTGGTTCAACTTGAATCCTATGCCCAACCTCTCCTCTGAACTGTTCCTTTCAGAAAAGTAAATGGGATAGGCAGATTAGCTAGGCCTGTTTCACATGCCCACACCTGGAGGTGGGGAGTGGGGTTAGCCCCCGCAACAGGCACATGGATTGAGAAGAGGGAACAGGGGAGGCCCCAAAGGTCAGTCAGGATTGGGAAAGGGAACCTGGGAAGGTGTAAACTACAGGTGTCTTTTAAAGTGAAGCCAGGAGGTATAGCAGGAATGCAGGAGAGAAACACTTAAGGGTGGGCTGTGGTCCCACAGGGATCCTGGGGGCTCAAGTTCAAGCTGAGGGCATACCAGGACATGCGTCCGGTTAGCTGTGGGGCATGGGCACCATCCAGGATGAAGATGTCTCTTGTCACCCTAGCTTGAGGAGAGGGCAGAGAACGTCTCTGTCTCCACTGCAGGACAGCACTTCTCCTCTCCCACCACTGTGACCCTGGGCTCTTTCACTGAGAAGGCAGTGGGGGGACATTCCTCACTGCGAATCTGGGCTGAGCTGGGCTGTGCACAGCCAGAAGCACAAGGGGCTGCCTGTGGGATGATGAACTTCCCCTCACAAGTGTGCCAGCTGGGTGGGGACAGCTGAGTGTCAGCTGAGGAGAGGACAGCTGGGCCATGTGGGACTGGACTGTTGTCTCCAGGGCTGGGTTGGGAGTGATCTGGATGCCTATGTGAGTCTCCAGGAGGCAAGATGGCGACTGGGCCAAATGGGCTCGAGGAGTGGGTGGGCAGCGCATACCTGTTTGTGGAGTCCTCGCTGGATAAGGTGGTCCTGTCGGATGCCTACGCTCACCCCCAGCAGAAGGTGGCGGTGTACAGGGCTCTGCGGACCGCGTTGGCAGGTGCGTGGGTGGGCGGGCACTGGGAGAGGAAGGGGTGGCCTGGGGCCTTTTGTGGGCGGGGTCAGGGGCTGAGACCCCACCTCTTCAACTCCGTGGGCCAGAGCCCTCGGGAAAAGATTTGATGGCGAGGGGAGGAGGCGGCCTGGTTTCTTGTGTAGGCTCTGTCTTCTCTGTTTATACGTGTCCCCGTATCTGTGTCCGATGTACCTACTTGTGCACTAACGTCTCCCTGCTCAGTGTCCCCCACTCCCCTGACCAGCTGGCTCACTGCTTTCTATTAATCTCGCATCTCTCTCTTTTCCTCTCTCACTGCAGCACTCCTTGCTCAAGACCCCTCCCCGGTACCTACCTTTCGGGTCCCCCTTTCCCATCTCAGGGCAGAGGCCACAAGAGGCTGAAGCCGGTCGGGGAATCCGCCCCGGGCCCGACCCCAGAGCGGCGAGAGCCCCTCTCCTTCCGGGTCAGCGGGAGCCGCACTTGGTGGAGGCTGAAGACCTAAGACCTCTCGCCCCTCCCCTGCTCTGCCGGCTGCCTACGCAGGCGGCTTGGCTGCCCAGGGCACCTCCCCTCTCTGTGGGGCAGTCTTTCCCCGCGTCCCTTTTGCCCACACTAATTTGGGGCTTCAGAGATGGGGCTAGGGTGGGACCCACTCCTTCTTAGGGTGCTTCCTGTGATAGGTCCTGGCTTTCATTCTGAGTTGTTGCTGTTTGCATCCCAATTTTGTTTCCCAGCGGGGAGCCCTGGGGTAATCCCGCGCTCCGAGGTCTGGGGATGGGGAGAGGGGTCTGACTTCACCGCCTCCTCCGGGCGCTTGGAGAACGGCCCCGCATGGGGACCGCCTGGCGCCTGACTGCCCGCCTCCGCAGAGAGCAGCGGGAGCCCGGACGTGCTGCAGATGCTCAAGATCCACCGTAGCGATCCGCAGCTGATAGTGCAACTGCGTTTCTGCGGGCGCCAAGCCTGCGGCCGCTTCCTCCGCGCCTACCGCGAGGGGGCGCTGCGCGCCGCGCTGCAGGGGTGCCTGGAGGCGGCGCTCACCCTGCAGTCCTTGTCGTTGGAACTGGAGCTGCGCGCTGGCGCAGAGCGGCTGGACACTTTGCTGACCGACGAGGAGCGCTGTTTGAATTGCATCTTCGCCCAGAAGGTGCGGCCGGGCTGGGGCCAAGGTAGGGTGGGGCGGGAATGCGCGGCTGAGACCCCCACCGACGCCGCACTCCCCTCCCTAGCCCGACCGGCTCCGGGACGAGGAACTCGTTGAGTTGGAGAATGTGCTCCGGAATCTGACGTGTGGCTCAGGGGTCCAGGGTGGCGACGTGGAGGTCGCTCCAGCCCCCTCGCGGCCCCTGGCACCCTCTCCGTCGCAGGAGAAGCCGCCGCCGCCGCCGCCATCTGGCCAGACTTTTCTGTTCCAGGGTCAGCCTGTAGGTGAGGCGCTTGCGGAGAGGAAGGGGCAGGGTCATAGGGAAGATGAAGTTTGGGGAGGAGCGAGGTCTGGGCCGGGTAGTCGCGGGGCGGGAATGGAAGGGCACCGGCTCTGGGCGCCCCCCCCCCCCGCCCCCCGAGCTCACTCCGTTTCCCACTCCCCCCGCAGTGAACCGGCCGCTGAGCCTGCAGGACCAGCAGACGTTCGCGCGCTCAGTGGGCCTCAAATGGCGCAAGGTGGGGCGCTCCCTGCAGCGAAGCTGCCGCGCGCTGCGGGACCCGGTGCTCGACTCCCTGGCCTATGAGTACGAGCGCGAGGGTCTGTACGAGCAGGCCTTCCAGCTGCTGAGGCGCTTCGTGCAGGCCGAGGGCCGCCGCGCCACGCTGCAGCGCTTGGTGGAGGCGCTCGAGGAGAACGAGCTCACCAGCCTGGCAGAGGACTTGCTGGGCCTGGCGAATCCCGATGGCGGCCTGGCCTAGGCTGGGTACCAGAGAAAGGGCGGTCGGCCAGTTGCCTAGCCAGGGTTTGGAGCATCTGGATGATCCCAGATCCCTTCTGCTGCTACTGCTGACCTCCTGTCCATCCACGGGACTCTGAGACCACACTTAGAACCCTACTTAGCTGAGATGCTGGAGCTGCTGGGCAGAGTCGACTGCCTTCTCCAGGAGTCAGACAAGCATCCACCTTGCCTGCTGGGGTGCCACTGAGGATTCAGCTCCAGATGTTACAATAGAGACAGCGTGCAGGGTGACTGGCTGTAGAGGACTGCCTCCCCCTCCCTCACCCCAGAAGAGGGGCTTCAGCCAGCCCTTACCTCCTGACTCATTGAACAATTACTCATTAGGTACCTGCTGTGTCCTAGGCGTCATCCTGGGTGCTGCAAATACTGTGGTGAACAAGATACAGGAACCTACCTACCTGCCCCCAGTTCACACTCAGTGTGGGACTCCAAATACTAAGCAACAGTAATAAAATATTACCTGTTGTTTTTTTCTTTTTTCTTTTGGCGAAGAAGATTGGCCCTGAGCTAACATCTGTTGCCAATCTTCCTCTATTTTGTATGTGGGATACTACCATAGCATGGCTTGATGAGCAGTGTGCAGGTCCCTGCCTGGTATCCGAATGCAGGAACCCTCGGCCACCAAAGGTGAACACACAAATTTAACCATTACACCACCAGGCCAGCCCCAATTACCCATTTTGATGTTAAAAATAGAAGGAGTTGTAGGAGCACTGAGCAGGGGCCTAACCCAGCTTAGGGGTTAGGCTTCCTGGGAGAGAGATGAGTGTGAATAGCGGGGAGGGTGGGAGGTTGAGAGGAGCACAGCATTCTGGGCATAGCCAGCCTCAGGTAAGATCTTGAGGCAGGTGAGCAGGAGGGATGTTGGAAGAACAAAGTTTAGAGTGGCTGGATCTAGGGGTGGCTGGGTTTGCAGAGAGATGGGTTGGTGAGTGGGAGAGGCAGATAGCACGGGGTCTGGGAAGCCATTTTACAGAGTTTGGATTTTGTCCTGAGGCCAGTGAGAAGCCTTTAAAAGATTTTGGAAGTTAAGGCTGGGAGGCTGGTCAGGAGGCTGAGAGAGAAAGGACAGTGGCCCAGGCTGGGGTAGTGGCAGCAGAGATGGCGGGAAGGGATGAACACTGAAAGCTATTTAGGACAAAGGATAACAGGCCTGGTGACACTGGATGAGGAATGAAGCGAGAGAGGACCCCAGAGTTTCTGCCTTTGCCAGGTGGATGGAGGCTGGGGCTGCCCGCTGAGATGGGGGTCCTGGGGGACGTGAAGTGCTTGCTCTGTTCAGGACAAGTTGGGCACGTTCCTGTAGGACACCCAGGGAGAGAGTCCGAGCGTGGACTGGATCTGTAGTTTTAAGTTCAGAAGAGGGTCCAGGCTAAAGATTTACCAACAGACAGGTGGGAGTGGGTGGGGTGGCCTGGGGGGGTCGGTCTTGAAGGATACCAACCAGAAAAAGAGCAGCCCAAAGAGGAAGGAGGAAAACCAGGAGATTTGGAAGCCAGGGAATACTCATCTGCTCTGATGGAGGCTGCAGATTGTCGAGGCTGAGGAGTGTCCATTGGAGTCAGGGAAAAGGTTACTAGGTAGGGGCTGTTCCTGGGACATGGTGGGGACAGTCTGAAGCCAGACCACGGGAGGGATGGGAGGTGAGGCAGTGGAGAAAGCCAGAGTAGACAACTCCTGAGAAGTCTGAGAATAGAAGCGTGAGGCTCAGGATGGAGGGTTTGCTTTTAAGGGAGAACATTGGTGGGAAGAAGTTGTCAGAAGGAGCAGAAAAAGCCCCTGGAAAAAGGATGGCGCTGGGTAGCAGTGCTGGTTCCTGTAGCCTGTCCCTAGAAACTCTGGGTGGGGTGGGTGGGTTGTCTACTCCAGGCCCCACTGTGTGGTCTGGGACCCAGAGGCTCTGAGTTCCAGGAAGAGAGAGCTAGGCAGGGACTGGGCCCTCAATTCCAGACCATCTCCCTGCCCACCTGGGTCCCCGATCGAACCCTTTGCTCACTGGCCTATTTCAGGAGTCCCCCAAGCTGAACCAGTCCCTGCACGCCCAGTCTTGCTTGCAGTGGCCCAAGCTTGGTTATTTCTACTTGCAGGAGGCTATGCTGGCCTGGGGCACTAGGGACCAGGACACTCAGAACTGCCTCTGGGGAGACAGACTGAAGCGCTCACCTAGGAAGTTAAAGCAGACAGGGTTGAGCCCCTGTCCTGTGTCCCAGTGGATGGACGGTGAGAGGGGCAGGGCAGAACAGAGGAAAGAGTCCTGGACTGAATTCCAGAAGACTTGGGGCAGAGTTCTTATCTTCTGCCGGTATGATCCAGGGCAAGTCACTCAACTCCCTGAGAGGCAGTGTCCCCACCTGGGCATGAGCAATGAGAGCTGCTGCCAGGTTCGTGAGGATTGAATGAGCTGTCTCTGTCCCTGTGTGTTTGCTGCCGCGGGGGGGCGGGGGGCGCGGTGGGAACGACGATGACGACGACGACATGGCAGAACCAGGAGTAAGGAGGCAGCCATGTGTCCCAGGGGCGGTTTATGGGCCCTGCCTGGAGAACTAGGGTTCCTGGTGAGCCGAGGAGAGGCTCCTCCAAGGAGGGGCTGGGATGGTGGCCAGGTCGATGCCTAAGACGCTCAGCCCCAGAGATTTGGGACCCGCCTGCCGCAGGGCTCCTGCCAGCCCAGGCCCTTCCCAACTCCGGAGAGACAGGGGTGTGGAGACTAACCAGAGAAGCTAATGCTTCTTCCCGCCCCCCAGGAAGGCGAATTTGGGGAGTCTGGGCCTGCACCGAGACCAGAACCACCTCTTCGGGCCTTCCCAGAGAGAGTTGTCCGTGAACCCTCTCAGAGTTTAGTCCTCAGCGCTCCTGGCCGCGCCGGGGCGGAGCTGAGCTCCAGATGTCCGGGCGGGCACAGCTGGAGGGTCACGTGGCAGCGGCCCCGGCCCCCCTTCCTGCCAACGCTGCATTTGGCCCAGGCCGGGTCCATGGCCGCCCTTGGGACCCTGCGCTGAGCCCCGGAAGCCCCGGCGTCCGGGGCCGCGCCGCTCCCAAGGGCCGATCGTGAGAGTCGGAATCCCAAGGAGCGACGTGGTGGGTAGGGAGGGGTAGAAGGGATTCAGTGAGCATCAGCGCGGGGAAGGCGGGCGGGGCTGGGGCCCAGGCTCCGCGTCTCCCTGCCCCGGCCTTGGGACACCGTCTTGGGCCGGAGCTGAGCGGGTGGGAGCTGGCAACTAGGAGGAACTTGCACCTCTTTCGGGGTGCCCATCCCGGTGGGGAGGTCAGAGCCCAGAGCAGGAGAACACCGAGGGGGATGAACGGCCGGTAGCTGGAGGCCCCGAGAGTGTGGCCTCCCTCTCCCTCCTCTTGGGGAGGGCGGGGCCGAGCCCCTGACTGAGTCTCTCCGCAGGGGGCGCGGGCGCCGGCCACGCGGACATGAGGCGGAGGCTGCGCCTGCGCGGGGACGCGTCGCTCACGCTGCTCCTCGGCGCCGCCCTCGGCCTACTGCTCTACGCGCAGCGAGATGGCGCGGCCCCGACGACGAGCCCTCCTAGAGCGCAAGGGAGGGCAGCACCGGGGCCCGCGTCAGGGCCCACGCTGGGGCTCCGCGTATTTCAGGCACCGGATGCGGGCGCAGCCCCGCCAGCCTACGAAGGGGACACACCGGAGCCGCCCACGCCCACGGGACCCTTTGACTTTGGGCGCTACCTGCGCGCGAAGGACCAGCGGCGCTTTCCCCTGCTCATTAACCAGCCGTACAAGTGCCGAGGAGATGGAGGACCTGACCTGCTTGTCGCCGTCAAGTCAGTGGCGGCGGACTTCGAGCGGCGCCAAGCCGTGCGCCAGACATGGGGTGCTGAGGGTCGTGTGCAAGGGAAGCTCGTGCGCCGTGTGTTCTTGCTGGGCGTGCCCAGGGGCGGGGGCACAGACGGAGCAGACGCGGAGGGGGAGGGCGCGCGAACGCACTGGCGCGCCCTGCTGCGCGCTGAGAGCCGCGCATACACGGACATCCTGCTCTGGGCCTTCGACGACACTTTCTTCAACCTAACGCTCAAGGAGATCCACTTTCTGGCCTGGGCCTCGACCTACTGCCCCGACGTGCGTTTCGTTTTTAAGGGCGACGCCGACGTGTTCGTGCACATGGGAAACCTGCTGGAGTTCCTGGCGCCGCGGGATCCGACGCAGGATATGCTTGCAGGTGATGTGATCGTGCAAGCGCGGCCAATCCGCGTGCGGGCCAGCAAGTACTACATCCCGGAGGCGGTGTACGGCCTGCCCGCCTACCCGGCCTACGCAGGCGGCGGTGGTTTCGTACTTTCAGGGGCCACGCTGCACCGACTCGCTGGTGCCTGCACCGAGGTTGAGCTCTTCCCCATCGACGACGTCTTCCTGGGCATGTGTCTACAGCGCCTGCGGCTCACGCCGGAGCCTCACCCTGCTTTCCGCACCTTTGGCATCCCCCGGCCTTCAGCCGCGCCGCACCTGCGCACCTTCGACCCCTGCTTTTACCGCGAGCTGGTTGTAGTGCACGGGCTTTCCGCGGCTGACATCTGGCTTATGTGGCGTCTGCTGTATGGGCCGCAGGGGCCAGCCTGTGCGCGTCCACGGCCTGTCGCTGCTGGTCCCTTCCAGTGGGGCCCCTAGCCCCACCCATCACAGCCCCAAGCTCCCCTCATTCAGACCCAGGATGTAGTAGTGGAACTTTGAAGGTGAGGTTTCCCAGGCGGATTATTGGCGGTGTATGTGGTTCTTCCCCAGAAAGGGGCAGAAGAGTTCAGGATTCAGGGGCCAGCCCCATGGCCGAGTGGTTAAATTCGTGCTCTCTGCTTAGGTGGCTCAGGGTTTCGCAGGTTCGGATCCTGGGCACGGACATGGCACCGCTCATCAAGCCATGCTGAGGCGGTGTCTCACATGCCACAACCAGAAGGACCCACAACTAAAAATTGCAACTATCTACCCTGGGGCTTTGGGGAGAAAAAGGAAAAATAAAATCTTAAAAAAAAAAAGAGTTCAGGATTCAGACTCATTGCCAGGTGTCTGTCTCCACAGGGTCCACAGAGAATGAAGATTGAGCTTGGCTCCTGCTGTCCCCTTACTGGGAACCAGTCTAATGGCGGCCCTTTGAGATAGGCAGGGCTAAGGCGGTGGAGCACCAGGCTCTTTGTCAAGCATATGGACGTTTGGTCCCCCTAGTACCAAGGGGGGGCGGGGGAGGGGGAGTGGAATGGCAGAGGTTCACGGAACCTGACCATACTCCTTGGTTTGGAACCCCTATGGTGAAGCAGAGAAATGCAGCTCTTTCTCAAGGCTGGAACCCACAGGGATGTGTGGGGGCCTGGCCTCAGTCCTCATGGAACTGGCAGACATTCTGCCACAACTCAATCTGAAAGCAAGCATTTTGCTTCCCACCTACCCCTCCAAATTGAATTCTCAGCCTTGTCCAGGTCTTTAGATCTTTTTCTGAGGTCTTCTTTCCTGGAGCCAATCCCCCATGGGCCCTGGTCTGGCTGGAATACCAGGGATGGAGGCATCCAGAGACGACTTGAGTGCATGATCCTACCTAAAGTCTCTCTCCACCTCCAATTACCCACTACAAGAACCTACACCCACAAAGCTATGTCAATCTCTATTAGAGGCTGTGCTGCCCCCTTCAGAGGAGCCAAGGAACCTCTTCTAAGATGACTCCACTATAAATTTCCCCATATTCTTCAACTCCCCCTTCTCAAAAAAATCAACACCCCCACACTTATTTTAGTACAAACATCCCAGCAACAGCACATGGTGAGCCGTTGCTAAGGGCACAGGTCTTTATTGGAGGAGGGGTGAGGGCAGGGCATGAGGAAGGTTCTCTCATTCCAGGAAATGGGAATAGTACCTAGCTGCTCCAACAGTGGGATGTACGGGGGTCTCTGGCCAGGCCAAAAGGGAAGACACCAGTCAGTCACAAAGTCATGGGAGTGCCACACAGGCCCAGGAACCACATAGAAACCTGGGGCAGGTCCCCTGCACATTCATTGTTAAACTATACAGGATGAGGCTGTACATGAGTTAATTACAAAAGAATCATATTTACAAAAATCTGTACACACATTTGAAAAACTCACAAAATTGTCATCTATGTATCACAAGTTGCTAGACCAAAATATTAAAAATGGGATAAAATTATACATTTCTCTTCTCAATTCTTTTCAAAAGGATTAATATTTTTAAAGCACATACGCTACTTTCCTTAGCAGGACCCATGAAAAGACTGAGCAGCCCAGCCCTCCCAGAGCCCCCAGAGGCCTTGAACCATGAATGGGGCATGACCAGGGGACACTGCCCAGGGTTGGGGCAGGGGAGCCAGCCCACAGTGCAGAACAGAATGCTGAAACACAACAAAAGGAGGAAGATGTCTTTGGCTAAAACTTTGGCATTAAATAAAAGAGGCAAACAGAATGGAAACAATGCAGCCCTGCTAGCCAGGTTGGGGCAGAGCGGGGCACAGGAGACCTTGAAGGCTGGCTCCAAGAGGGTTGGGAACCAGGCCTGGGCACAAACCTGGATGGTAGAAAGCTGTACTTCAACCAGTTAGGTGTGCCTACTTGGCCTGGCAGGGAGCACGTGCAAGAAAGGAACAGGGAGGGGCAGGTGGGCCATCTTGGCCACAGCCAGCTCATCAAGTAACTAAAGTGGATGTAGTGCAAAAGTCACAACCAAGTACTACGGACATGCTACCTGCTTGCCTTAAGGGTCACGTGGCAACGCTGGGACAAAGGCAAGACCTTGTCCTCGTCCTGGGTGCCTGTGTCTTCAGCAACAGAAAGAGTCCTAAGTTTTCCCAATGTGTGTGAGACAGGGGAGACAGAACTCTGCCTCCTTACGTGTTAGTTGAGAGCTCCTGGGTCCAGGTATCAAGGCTCAGAGTTTGTGCTTCTCTTTGCAGTCTGTGTCCCCTGTTGGCACCAGCAGGCTGAGGACGGACAGAGGAATATCTGGGCCTCTCACCCCATGGCAGAGCACCCAGCCTGAGCCCCACCTCAGAACACCACAACAGCTGTTCAACACTGGCAAAGTGTCCAGGAAAACCCACAGGGTGGCACATGGAGGCCCGCTGAGCAGGATGCGATGCACAGTTCCATAGGCAGAGGGGCATGGGTGCTGATGTCCCTAGGGGAGCTCTGCTGTTCTCAGGTGGGCACCAGGCTTGGGGGGGCCATACAGGGTCACTGAGGCAATGTGGTTATTCTGCATGACCTAGTATGAGAAAACGACAGTGAGTCAAGGGGATGGAGTAGAAGGGATGTAGGCAGAGCAGGCAATCAGATCCACAAAAACCACCAGTAGGATCTGTACTGGGGTTGTGACTGCAGAGAAGGGACTTGAGGCAGTTCCTGTGCATGGGGTTGGAGGTTGTGTGTGCAACACACTTGCACACAGGGCTGGGCTGATCCGTCAACATCCCCCAACTCACACTAGGGGTCGTCTCTGCCCCAGCGCCTGCCTGTTCCTCATGGGATACAGAAACTTCCCCAACCATTTGTCCAATCCTTCTGAACTGCTAGGGGCCTGCTGAAGGTATGGCATCCATGAGGGAAAATAGGGGCAAGCCCATTCTTCTCCCAAGCTGATGGGGCCTCTATAGCCACTGATCCATAGCACATTCATTCACATGGCATTCAAAGGCCCCCAATACCCCCAGGCTGAGCCTGACTTGCCCTGTGATTCTCTTTCCTATTGTACTCATGTTTTCAGATATAACCCTCACTGTTAAATGTGGGTGGGCCAGGTTCTCAGCAGACAAGGTTGCTGGGGAAGGATTAACTCGTCCAGCAGGGCCATTAGGCCCGTCCCATTCTCTTTCAATCACTTGCCTGTCCCTGTTATGACCACTAGCCCTGCAACCCCCAGGGCTTACCTCAAAGATCATCCGCTGAAGACCAAAGCAGAATGTGGAGCCAAATGGGTTGGTGTTGTTTGGGGAGGAAGACCTGAGGCCGGGGAAGCCAGAATTAGATGGGCAGACAGGCCAAGGCCAGGCAGGGCATCTAGTCCCTTTGGGGATGGGGGCTATTGGCCAGTGGTCTCTCATAGCTGTGAGTGTCTGTTTCCTGCACAGGCCTTTAAGATCCCAGGGGTAGTGACAGGCTTCCCTCAAGCTTTGAATACTACACAGTACAACAGGGCACAGAAAATTATGCAATTGGACTGGGGTGGTGAAAACTCAGGAGGGAGAGGGAGCCTCAGGCAGCACAGCAACTAGGTATTGGGCTGCAGACTATAGCAGGTAGTGGCTTTGATAGGGGGAAAAAAGCGCCCAGGACAGCCAGTCAAAACCGCCTCCCTATCTGAATAACTAGGGGTGAAAGGGCCCCCGAACCTGGAGGTAGGTGGGGGAGAGGGGAGCTATCTCCAGGGGTACAACCTGCCAGGTAAACATGCAGAACAGCTGGCCCAGTCCTAATGCACAGAGGAGGGACAGGAAGTATGTTTGTGGCAACACCAGAAACTTCTGTCATTTCTAAGCCATACTTGCTGCTAGGCCTTCTGGGCTGTGAGGAGCAGAATGGGGTGGTCAGAGACAGCAACCTCTCACTCACCTGTGCAGGACAACAGGCTTCTCCACAGGGTGGCCCAGGAGCTCCTGGATGTTGTCCCACTACAAGAGGGATGGGGGCAGCAAGGGGTTAGCAAGGACCTGAGCACGCCTGTGACTAATGGCTGGCCCAGAGGACACGGGCCCCAGACTGCTGGCAGGTTCACGCCCACCTAACTTTTGGGCTGCATCGGGGGGGAAAGTAGGAGCTCACCTTGCTGTAGGTTGTGCATGTTTCTGTCTGACCATCTGCATTTTCTGAAAAGAGAACACGGGGTGGTTGGCAGCTGGTCCAGCCCACCTGTGACCCAGCCCTAGGCAGAATTCAGACTTGGCCACCCTTTGCACTGGGGTTGGAATATGGAGGGAGGATAGATGGGCTGTTTTAGAGTTCCTGAATGAAAGAGAGTGGAGGGTTAAAGGGAGGTCAGTCAGGTGTGAGCTACACTATGCAGCAATGACAACAGTCACAAGGCTGTGCTGGGAGCACCAGGATGATCATCTGTAGATAGGAAACTCCAGCCCTCCAAAGACCAGCAATCTCATGGTCACAGGAAAAGACTTTGAGGGCCTCCAGGAGACTACAGACCAAGACCAATGCAGCCCCCAGAACAAAGAGCCCAATCCAGAGGAGCTGAGGCTATGGGCAGAAGCAGGTGGGCAAAGGCTCCATAAACCCAACCATTACTATCCTCTGCTTGGATCACTGTATCTTCTCATCATGAGAGACTGACTGACTCCAAAACCCTTTCCGTACCCTGAGGATATTCACTACTTACCTTTCTTTATGGCTAGTGGGATCTTGAACTCACAGCGGTGGTAACTAGAGAGAGAAGGCAGATGGGTAAAGCCTGGGTCCCCCAGGAGGTCTCACCACTCCCACATCTCAACTCCGTACCCCAGGAAAAACAGAATCAAGCACACCTGCCCAAAGCATTCAATGGGGGAGACCAGATTTAGGCAGTGGAGTCAAACAGAAAAGGACATGGCTCTGGAGTCTGAAGACTCTATTACCTTGGATAACACACCAAGCTTTCTGAACCTATTTCCCTATTTGTAAAATGGATACAAATGGAGAGATATAAGGTATTGGACACTATATCAGAAACAGAGCAAACACTCAGGAAATGATCACTTCCCATGAAATAGCAAGAATTTAGGTGGAGACAAATTAGTGAACATCCTAAGCCAGAAGCTCTCTCTTTTCTGGCGATTTTCAGCCCGAAGCTCACGTCTCAGAGGGGCAGGTACACGTATACTCACATGTTAAAATTATAATGCCCAGGGTAATTGGTGTGTAGGACAAACTTCTTCACTTTGTGTGTATTCGCATCAAAGAGGATGTCCTGGGATAGAAAACAAGGATGTCCACGTAGTTTAAAAGTTACTGAGGCAGCGCAGGGGCCTTTCCAAGGGCCGGTCCAATTAGGAGACAGCCACTCTGCAGTGAGGATGCCCGCAGACAGCAGTTTTCTTCCAAACAACAGTAAAGGAGACAGCTGAGGCCAAGAAGCCTTAACTGGACATTTTCAGTGAGGGATGACGACCTAACCATCCATAGCACCCCCCCATTGCAAACCTTGTACCACCAGGCCTGCCAGGCACAGGGGGCTAGAGCTCTCGCTGCTTGAGAGCTCAAACACATCAGTGAGATGTTTCCTGACAACAAGCCCCTGATAAAAAATCTGAGCACAGATTTTGGCTTGAAAGCTACCAAGAAGATTCAAGGGCCACTTGACTCTCAAGGGTCTCAAGACACCTGGCTATTCTGAATGCCATGACCTGCCTGACCCATCTGGCTTCCATTAGGCACTCTCCGTGGGAGTCAGCAATCCCTGGAACTGAAGTCCCAGCCTCTTGCCAGGACTCAGACCTGGATTTGATGCTGCCTGTTGAACACTTCCTCCTCTCCCCGACTCCCTTTCCAGCTTCACACCCTGCCAGCTCTTCAGACCTGTGACCCCAAGGTTACCCCTGACTCTGCCCTCCCACCAATAGCTACACTAAATCCTATTAGGGCCGGTCCATTCCCTCCACCTTACCTCCCATAAATCATCACTGGCCCTCAACTCCAAAGAGGCCCAGCTTACAAAAGTGCCATTCCCTCCTGCCACCATCCTACCCTCAAGAGTTTATGATCCCGTTGCCATTCCCCCACTACTTCTGGCTCCTTTTTGGTCTTTTCCACATAGGCAGACCCAGTCTCTCCTTTCTCTCTCTCTGGAATCTACCCTTTCTTTGCTGCCTCAGGACCTCAGGCCCTAGAAAGCTCAAAGGTTAGAAGACCCAAGTCCAGGCCAATCCTGTCCTCTGAGATGTATCCTTCTGGTGCATAATCATTTACATAATCATTTCTCACACCTGCATCTCATCTATCACCCAGACTCTCAGCACTGATGGTGGCCATCAGCTCCATTCAGCACTCTAGGCCCAGAGCACAGGGCTGCAGCAATGCCCCTGGGCGATCCCTAAAAATACATAAGCATAGTTCCACTGTCTTTGAGTCTTTTTAGTCTCCCTATTCTGTGACTCCAGAATACGGTCCTATTCTGAACCTGAATGATTCCCACAGCCTCACCTACAGAGCATGTTTCCCTTAGAAAAGAAGTCAAGACATACCAGGGAACCCAATGTTTCTCTGCAATCTTGGTGGCAGGAAAGTCTACTTTGGGGCACTAATGTAAGACAACACTAGGCAAAGCCAGCTGGGGCTAGGGTCCCCACTGCCAGGCATGGTTACAGCTGCTGTGTACACATAGGTGTGCCCAGGTACACTGCCCACCTCCACAGAAAGGGAACGCTTCTCTGAGGAATCACAACTTACCACTCCGAGAGTGAAGTAGTTAAAAAAGTAGTCATTGCACTTAGATGGAACTTGCTTATGAGGGGAAGGAGAATGAATTTTCATCTGTTAGGAAAAAAAGATAAATTAAAATCCAACCCCTTAATATAATTCTTACTAAATGAAAGTCTGAAAAAGTGTTTCTTGCATAACATTAAGCTGTTGGATAAGCAAGGGTGTGAGAGTCCCAGCTGCTAGTGCCCAACAACCCAGCCACCTTTGGCTGACTATAGACTGGGCCCTAATCTCCAAGGAAAGGCAGGACAATCTGACCAACAGGGGTCAGAAAAGAGCTTTCAATTTACTTCTCCATCAGCTTTAATAGAACAGGTTCTATGGGAAAATAGCAAACAGTTTATATTTACTCATTACTAAGTTAATGTTGATTAAAAAAAAAATTAAGAGACTATCTATTCACTTTACAAACATATTTCCCCTACCTTGTCCTCTGACTTATAGAAGACCTTGTGCGGAGAGCCAAGCATGCTAAGAACATCCTGGCAGGAATCACCAAAATACACTGAACGTTCAAATACTCGCATCTTGGCATCTGCTAAGAGGCCGGGCCCACAACCTGCAGAGAACAAGGGAGAGGTGCTTGCGTTCCCAGTCAGAGCCTGAGACCCTGCAGCCCAGGGCCCTGGGGGCCCCAGAGAGGCCACTGGCTTTACGCAAGCAGAAATGCCAGGTCACCAGGGCTTGAGATGCTAAGAGAGATCACTATCTACTCAAAATAATGCCAAAGACTCAATCCCACAAAAGTGATATGGAGCTCTGGAGACTGATTCACTCACTCAGCAAATATTTACTTATTGACTACCATGGGCTACAACACTTTGCTACATGTTGAGCCAATAATGGTGAGAAAACAGGTGCAGTCTCTGCCCACATTGGAGCTTATGGCATGAAGATCCCAATCAGATTATCACACAACTGTGGTACACTAAACAGCAGCATAGGTGCTATGGAAGTATATAATGGGGTGCTACTCTTGCCACTTTCCAGGTCCTGATAAGATACAAGGATTTACGTTAAGAGGTGCTTCTCAATGGTAACCCCCAACTAGAAACCGGACCTAAAGATCACTCTATAGAAGAGCCAAGAATAAAGCACCCATTAACTCACTCTCTAATTCTACAAACACCTGACAGACCTACCAACACTCAAAAGAGACAAACCAGGAAAGTGGGAGACTAAAAAGAACCTGAACTGCCAAGTTTCTTCTTTGTGAAGAATCCTTAAGCCCTGATTTTGTCTAAGACATTTCAGAAATGGTTCCAGTTAAACATATACACAGACACCAAGTGGTTATGGAACAGCAAGACACACCAACGGTAAAACTTCTCCCATTCTGTAGATGAGAAGACAAAGTGTTTTGCCCAAAATAAAAAAAGAAGCCAAGAATCCAAGGAGGATTGCAATTCCTGGTACCATGATATCCACCAACATCACCTTACTCTGCACAGGGCTTTACAGTTAATAAAGCTCATTCATGTATAACAACCCATCTGTCACATACAGAAGATTTCAGGGATCCAAAATCTGAGATAACTAGGTACTGAGTTCTCCAGCTAACCCCAGAGTCTTCAGTCACAGCACATACACACTGACTGCCAAATAAAGGCTGTGTTTAAATTTACTAGCTCCTGGGAAAAGCATAGTCCACATTAAGCTCTGTCTATAAATCCTGCAACTTAGGCAAGCTTGGGTGACCTACAGAACCCACCAAAAGTCCTGTCAAGCTGGACTGTATGCCCGAAGTCTCCAGGTACCAGATATCTGTGACTGTCCAGATGGAACTACAGGGAAGGCACTCTTCACAGGTGAGTCTTCTCTCTCGTCTCACTCTACCAGAAGCATACCCACGTAAAATTACCCTTAGTTTTAACAGACTATTTTAGTTTCTGATTCCCTGGAGTGAGTCTTCCTTTAAGTTATTATGGGGACCAAGAGAGGTAAACTGACTTTCTGTGTTAAAAGCATCACTGTAGCCATACTCTATAAAGAAACAGATGTGAGAAATGAGTCAGCTGAGACAAGCTACCCTCCTGCTTGCCAAGGGGAACTCTTGATGAGTACTGGATTGGATAGTAACTCAGCGAGGCCCTGACTTAACAGTTTTCCCCGCTGACCCTGTAAGCAGTGAGATGTGACTGCTAGGAGTGGGCTGTACAGGGTGGCAGTCAGAATTGGCTGAGACTTCCACCCCCAACAGGCTTCTCCTGCTGTCACCTGGGGTAACTGTGCCATCCTTGACTGCCCCACTGTTTCAAGTGATCCTCCTGAGCAGACAGACCCTAAATCACTTGATCTTGCTGCCACATCTCAATTCTCTCAAAAACTGCAGTTCAAGTGCAACACTCCTTTAAGTAGCTGGTGTCCTGCCTTGGTCAGAAAAACCACATTTTAAGAAATTTCTAACCTGGAGGTTGTGAACTATCTAATTGTTCAGGGGAGTGAATTCACAGTTTATATACCAGATTTTTTTTTCCCTCCTCCCCAAAACCCCAGTACATAGTTGTACGTTCTAGTTATTCTATGTGAGCCAATGCCACAGCATGGCTACTGACAGATGAGTGGTGAGGCTCTGCGCCCAGGAACCAAACCTGGGCCGCTGAAGTGGAGCATGCTGAACTTTAACCACTAGGCCATCAGGGCTGGCTCTATATACCAGATCCTTAACAGTTAAGAACCAACACCCTAGAGACTGATGTAAAACCCCAATTTATGAATAAATGCTGGCTAGACTGTGTGCTCCACTAAGGCATAGCCTGTTGGCTTGTGGGCTCTTTTTTTTTTGAGGAAGATTAGCCCTGAGCTAACATCTGCTGCCAGTCCTCCTCTTTTTGCTGAGGAAGACTGGCCCTGAGCTAACATCCGTGCCCATCTTCCTCTACTTTATATGTGGGACGCCTGCCACAGCATGCCTTGCCAAGCGGTGCCATGTCCGCACCCAGGATCCAAACTGGTGAACCCCAGGCCCCTGAAGTGGAACATCCACACTTAACCACTGTGCCACCAGGCCGGCCCCTCCTGGGCTGTCTTTATGGAGGCAAACTCCACACTGGAGATCCCTGTACTGTTAAACATGATCCAAGGTCCAAAGTAGCTGAGATTGGCCAGGCAAAAGAAAATCACAAAATGAGGCAAAGATCCTGGAGAGACCAGCTACTGAAGGCATCAACTCTTTGTTCATAGTCAGCAAAACTGTCAGCGGGGTGTGGGCAAACCACAATTCAGCAGGTCCCTCCTGCCAGCCTACTCTGAGAACTAGGCATAAAGGGTGGAAAAAGGGAGAACAGACAATGCCACGGCCCACAAGATACATCTTCAGGAAATAGCCTGGGAACCACTGCAAAGCTAAATAAGCACATAGAAGGCTTATGTACACACTGAGGGAAGCAATGCTACTGTCGGTTATTAAGATTTGCTAATGATAGACCCAGTCCTGATGGTTTAATGGTTAAAGTTCAGTGTGTTCCACCCTGGTGGCTAGGGTTCCATTCCTGGGTGTGGAACCAAACCACTTGTCTGTCAGTAGCCATGCAGTGGCAGCGGCTCACATACAACAACTAGAAGAATTTACAACTATATACAACTATGTACTGGGGCTTTGGGGAGGGGAAAGGGAAGCAAAAGAAGGAAAATTGGCAATGGATATTAGCTTAGGGCAAATCTTCCCCTGCAACAAAAACCAACCAAACAAACAAAAACATTTGCTAATGATAAAACTATGTCTTGTGCCTTCACAAATTTAAATAAAAGCCTTAGCAATAAACATCTGCCTCATGTGTCTTCTAACAACTATCTCTAAACACGTGAGATTTTAGACTGTTTCAACATAGATGTAACGGGGAATCCACCACCCCATAGCCAGTAACTTACCTGCAGCAAGTAGGCGAAGTCGTAAACCTGAGGGTCCAGTTCCATCTCGAAGAACATCTACACTCTCAGCATACACATTGCCCAGGAAACAGCTCAGGGGCATCCCGGGAGCCCTGGGGGCAGGCACAAAATAAACAGAGGCTTTGCTCTCCCTCCCAGGGAGCCCATGGCCTTAGCATGAAGCTCATGCTCCTACATACATACTTGGTATCCTGTAGACTGTTTCCACTGTAGATGTACATTCGTTTCACAGTCGCTCCATGGGGTATCTGGAGAGAAGCTAGACCATGGGCAAAATTGGGCTGCAAACACAGGACAAAAGTTTTACTAAGAGCACACTGCAGGCCATGTGACTCAGGCTCTGGCATTCCCCAGTACTTGTGGTCTTCAAGAACTGGCCAGGGGGCCGGCCCTGTGGCTGAGTGGTTAAGTTCGCACGCTCTGCTCTGGCGGCCCAGGGTTTCACCAGTTCGAATCCTGGGCATGGACATGGCACTGCTCATCAAGCCATGCTGAGGCGGCATCCCACATGCCAGAACTACAAGGACCCACAACTAGAAAAATAGATAACTATGTACCAGGGGACTCTGGGACAAAAAAGAGAAAAAAGAACTGGCCAGGGGGTTAGCTCTGTGATCAAGTGGTTAAAGTTCCACGCACTCCGCCTTGGTGCCCCAGATCTACTCCATACATCAGCCATGTTGTGAGCATCCCATATACAAAGTGCAGGAAGACTGGCACAGACGTTAGCTCAGGGCTAATCTCCTTAACACAAAAATTTAAAAAAGGAGGAAGATTGGCAATGGATGTTATCTCAGTGTGAATGTTCCTCACAAAAAAAAAAAAAAAAAGAATTGGCCATATCAATGCACACAGTCAACCTGGCTCTGGGTTAATAAATTCACCCCAACCATACAAGTTCATCTTTAGTTTTACTTAGCTTTTATTTCCTTCGTCAGGGAGAAAATGCAGGAATGCTTCCCTTAATAAGATGTAAACCTTACAAAAAGCTATCCAACTCATAACCCAGAGGAGACTGTTGCCTAAGGATGAATGAAACATTTTCCTAAAAGCAATAACTGAAAATCCAAGATGAACTCTCTCAAATTCTAGGCCACTGAGAAAAACCAGTGATCCGGAGTTTTAAAGCAAGGCACAACTGGATCTCTGAAAAGTGACCTTGATCTCACTCTGCAATGGGAAGTGCCCTCTTCCCAGGAGTGCCAGCTTGGGCTTTGTTCTTCCTGTCAACCCCACCCTCTCCACCCTCCTTGGCCCCTGAAGATCTCAGAGACAAGGAAACCAAAGAAAGAGTACCTATTCAGCCTCCCCAAAAGGCACTATCTGCTGACCCACATCTCATGGGCACTGGGCAACAAATACCAGGGGAAGGGAAGGGCTGACCTCGTACTTGGGAGCCTCAGTCCACGAGTCTAACTGAAAAGAGAAAGACAGTCCTCTGAAGTTGAGGTGGAAGAGCTGCTCAGCGGAGTTATACACTGTGGGAGTAGGAAGAAGAAGACGACTTGGTTGAATGGTATCAGAAGTTGCAAACACAAACCAGCCTGGCAGGGAGTAATGACTGGCAACACATTCCTTGTGTCTCATCTGTGACCTGATCTACTAGGCTGAAAACAAGGGGGAGGAGCTTTCCTTCACACCCAAGTATCAACCTCCAAATCCTATAGGAACCTGGCTTCAGGGGTTTGGGGTTGGGATGGCACCACTTGCCAGGTTTATCACAATGGGCTGCCAGAGATGACCAGACAAATCAGATGGACTTGGCTTACCTCCAGGATGGGTTGCACCGAAAGACTGGTCAATCTGCTCAATGGTGGGAGCTATGGCCTGAGAGTTAAAATGTACTCCACTGAAAAACAAAGATAGTTTTTAACACCAGGCTTCACAGGTTCACAGATCACTGGAGATGGTGGCTAGAAGAGTTATTCTTAAAACATAGGCAGGTGAGTCTATAATTATATCAAAATAATTAAACAACTTTTAAATAAGAGACAATTAATGAGGTCAAAACAAGTCAATTCTCCTGAGGCTGATATACAGAATTGATCTTCTAGGGCCTCCCAAGACATTTGTGGCCACCAGGCATAGTTCAGGAGGAAATAAATCCGGTCTCAGTCCCATGGCATTTGGACTTGGCTAAGAGTGGCCATAGGAACAGTGTTAATATGTTTTCCCAGGATGCCTACTAGTAGTTTGGCTTGAAAAGGAACTTTCTTAAAAAGGGATAAACATCTTAAAAGAAGAGTGTAGTCAAGCAATGCAGCTTGTTTTCTTAACAAGAAGAGTCAGTTCTCATGGACTGGGTGAATGGGTAGGTGGGTGTGGGAGGGATGGATCCCCTACAAAGAAAAAAAAACCTGGGGAGTGGGCTTGGGAGTAAAGAGGGGCATAGGACTTCAGCTGATGATCATGAAGATAAGGCATTTATGACTTTAAGGAGAATGCTTAAAGGTTAAGAATAATTTTTTTAAAAATTACTGTCATTTATGGGACACCTCTTTTTTAACCAGGAACTGTTGATGTGCTTTACCAGCATTCTCTCATGTAATCTTCCTAACCCAGCAGCTACATTATTGGTTTCTTTTCTTTGATGAGAAAACAAGCTCAAAGAGGTTAAGTGACTTGCCCAAGGTCACAGAGGTAATAAAATTATGAAGCCATAACTAAAACCCAGGGAAGCCTGACTCTAGAAGCCAGGCTCTTACCCACCACTGACTCATAAGAGGGTAAAAAGAAGCCAGAACTTGAGGTACAAAGGCCCAACAAGACTAAAAGACAATTAGAATCTGCAGAGGCCAGGGCTATTACACATTAGCTTTAACCACTCCTCTATCAGCAAATGTTGTTTGAGCCTGCCCCAGGAACTCGGGCCTTCTATGCTCTTGCAAAGGGAAGGGAAGCCTCTTAAGGAAGCTTACTGAATGGAGTATTCTAGATGATAGCAAAATGCCTTGCCATAATGGGGGGCTCAAATATTTGTGCATCATGCAGGCCATTCCCATTCTCATTCTAAAAAGCAGATTTTGCCCCCCAAATAGTGGTCCCTTTGGCATTCTCTTTAGCACAGGCTTGGAGTCAGACCTATCTGGTTTGTCCCACTTCTGTTACTCACGAAAAATAAAGAAGTGCCAAAAGAGGTTGTACAGGGGAGGGCAGCTGTGACCTAGGAGACAGTTACATCAACTCTGAGCTGAGGTCCTGCTTTCCAGTGAGGATTAAATAAGCTGACATATATGTGAAGTGTTTTACACATAGCATGTTCTTAGTGAGGTTTCCTTCTCTTCCCCAGAAAGCTGAGTGGGCTTAGGGGCTGCCTGAGGAAATCATGGTACCAAGCTGCAATCCTGGACCTGCTGCGGATGGGAATCCTCTACTAATACTATGAAGGTAGTAGATAAAGCCCATTTGTACAAAGCCTGTGACATATACCAGCAGGGGAGAAAACTTACCAATATTTTAACTTTACTTTAGTCAAGTCATATACTTCAATCACCTAAAAAAAAAAAAATCAAATGTTTAAGAGTTGTTAATGCTCTGTAGTTGAAAAAGATTACCTAAAAAGACATTTATAGAATAGCGAAGAAAAAACAACTACCACTAGCCAAAATTCTCCTCCTGAAGCACTACACATTACGTTTTGTTCTCATTTTTTAATTTGGCGGAAAAACCCATACCACACACAGCATAACCTCTCCTTCTTCCTCTTCCAGTGGATTATTCAACAGATGTCCATGGATGTTCTGGGTCCAGGTTCTTATATCTACTCTACTGCTGGGTCATACAGAAGACAGCACATACCACCCTTCTGGACAGTGAAATCCTCCACAGAAGCAAATTCACACAGCTTGTTAAGGCTGTAACCTTGAATACTGAGCCCCTTTCCTTCTATTTCATACTTGACTGCATTATAAAAACCCAAATAAAGTCACTTTCAAAAATAGCTTCAAACTACTGTGGTTTACAAAACAAAAAGATGGAGGGGGAGGTCTATCTTGCTAGAAAACAAGTCATATTACATTAGCTTAGGACAAGTGTGACAATAATCAGATATATCCCTAATGATGGGCATCTGGTTAAACCTGGAGAACCCTGGGACCCTTGTGAAGTTCAACGGGTTCAGCCTCGGATGAAATGCCAAGAACTCAGGGCAGAGACAAAGAAAAAGGCATTGAACACTCAGCCACTAGTGGTGCCAATTAATGAGCACCATAAAGTCCTCTATGCCAATGGTGTCAGGGGGTTGGCAGCCAGCAGCATGGCTGGCTAGGGCGTGGAGCACCATCTACCATCCCTCAGCTGGGAGGTCTGGCCCTCAATGTAGAGGCACAAGTAGAACTGGTTCAATGTCTGTTTGCCTTGACAATCTGCGCCTCATCCCAGAAAGGGGCTCTGGGGCACTGGGTACAGGAGCATCCGGCATTGTCAGAGAAACTGAGACATAATAGGCAGTTCATTCTTGGCCAGACCTTGTCCCTAACTCTGTTTAGAGATCATAACACTAAACTACAAGGTGGGCACCTCTTAACTATAATGCAGCTATTCTGACCCTATCTGCTACTAAGAATTGCTCCCTCTGCTGGGCCGTCATAGCACTTCAATCAACCCCTTCTTAGACTACTTGCGTAGGCTGTTCACTAGTCCCACTAAATTAAGCCCCTTAAGGTCTGGCTTATTAGTTTGCACAGGGGAGGTATTCAACACACGTCAGGCGAGTCTGCCTGGTATGAAGCTAGCTAAGGGCAATATGAAGCTTGAAAGAATGAAAAGAGATGCCAAGAGAGGTCATACAAGGAAAGGCAGGGAACTAGCTGTGATTCATAAGATAACTAGTGTCCCCTTCAGAAAGCCTGGGCATGGCAGTATATCATGGCAAACAGGTAGGCCATTTTCACTCAGGCCAGGGCCCCACACTGGCAGAGGGCCTCAATCTTCAGCCAGAAGCCCTGCTTGTATAGCACTGGCAGGCACTCTGCCTCCCTGATTGCTACCTCTACGGCTCGCCAATGATCCCCCAAGGGCTTCCCACCACTCACCCTGTGGAGGTGGGCCTCCAGGATCTCCCTCCTGTGTCACTGTCACCCACCTGCCAAAAGCCCAGACCAACACTTAAAGATGCTTCAACCCTGCCTGCCCAATGGGAGAAGAGTGGACCAGAGTTAATCAAGTGCCGTAGGGTGGCACTTGTGGCAAGGGACCCAGAGTACTGACCATCTTAGCGTCCTTCATATCACCAGGAGAATCAACAACAAGATTTTGGCCCATGGACTACAGAGACAAGCAGCTGGGGAAGTCTAAAGTCCATGATTTCCACCCTCTGGGCTGGAAAAGGCCTTGATTTTCCCAGAGAGGAGGAGACACGGCAGCAGTCAAGATAGGAAAGGAAAAGACAAGGTGACTGTAAAGGTTGTGACTTGTGAAGCCTCATGCCACAGGGGTCTTGCATCAGCAGGGAGTGACGGGAGAGGAAACTGCAGGAGACATCATCAGGCAGAGGTGGATTCTGAAGCCCTTGGATGGAGGGCCAGGCAGACGGGTCAAGTCAGACCTGGTGCCAACCAAGGATACCTGAAGGATCGCTCTCTCAGTTTCCAGAGGCTCAGTCAGGGCCCCAGCCCCTCCTTCCTCATAGGGACCCCGCAGAACGCCGAAGCGAAGGTTCTATTTTACCTCCTTTCCCATTCAAATGTACTTCCCGTTCCTCGCATTTCTGCATAGTGTGCTCACACTATTTTTTTCAGCTTTTATCATATTTATTTCCCACATCAATCAACAGAATCTAAGCCATTTCTATTCCCAGTGGCCAGTAACCACACACTGGTAATATAGAGTTAAAAGCCTGGTATCAGGCAAACCACTTATCTTTTATCCCTCCGTCGTCTCGTTGGTAAACAGTACCGCTGACAGGCTTGTTAGGATTAAACTGGGAAATGCATGGGAAGCACTCGGCCGTGCACCTAACATGCACCAAGTGTTCACTAAATATGTGATACTGTCCTCACTATGCTGTGATTTTATGATGGGCTGCCTAGCCATCCCCTTTTATTGTCCATTTAGGTTACTTCCAGCTTTTCATTTCTAGGAAAAGCCCTGCTATAAATGTCTGGCAACATTACCCTCCCCATAATCTTTTTGGGTTATGTTTCCTAAAGGGGATTTACCACGTCAAAGACAAATGACTCTTTGTAAAGGTGTTTCCAGATTAATTTTCCCCAAATTTGTGATGAAGCAACACTAAAGAACATTCTTTACCCTTTCCCAGTGTGGAACTTCTGGTCACTGAAGACAGGATGACTGGGTCCACAATGAGAGGCAAGGGAGTTGCGAACAATGTCCACATCAAACTTTGCTTTTGAAAAACCATCATAAATGAGGAATTCTCATTCCATGTACATATTCTTTTTCCATGTTCTGTCTTGTCTCCTCAGCAGCTCACTTGTGATGATATGACGAGAACTAGAAAGTACCCAAGTCTTTTGGAAAGGCAACTCCATAACCTAACTGGGACAACAACTCTGGCATGCCACTGCCCAGGGCCACATTCAGCCTTGTGACTCTGAGGCATGAGTCTTGTGTCACATGACTAACCTGTGAAGCCCAGGCATTTGTAAATAGTGTATTAAAAACATCCTGGACTGAAACAGGTGTTAGTAAATTGCACTTGAACACCAGTTAAGACAACCTTACATACCAGCAAGTTGTTTGTTTATATCTCCTCAAAGGGGTTAAAGAATCAACTCATTTTGGTGGTGTTAAGCCCCAAGCCCCAGCATTTTAGGAAGAACAACTCCATTTTTCATCTTCCAAGTCATACTGTTTGTCATAAGAATGAAGTAAAACAATAAGATACATAAACCTCATTAAAGTCTTTTGATCCTATTCTGTAGGTCAGCCCCATTTTTAGTAACTTTTTAAAGACTCAGAATAATCTATGCCAAATACTTAGTCCCTCACTTGTTTTCCTACTCAACATAAAAGCCCCCTCCCTATACCATGTTCCCCAAATCTTCAACACTTTTCCCCCTTCACCTCTGGAGCCTGGGACTGGAGTCCTTCCTACCCTCTTTCCTACCCCCTCATGCCACCCTCAGCTTCCTTCTTTTTCGGGGAGTAGGCCTAGCTTCAGCCCCCTGTATCACAGTGGTCTCTGAACCACCATAAGTATATTCCCACTTATAAGTTTTGGAAACATCTCACAACAGCACATATTAATCAGCCTGACATGAAACTTTAGTTGTCATTTAGAATTACCTTAAGTCTCTGATTGAAAGCATCAAACAGTAGTTTGATCCCGTCCTGAGTCAGGTTAAGGATGAGGTCATGGCTTAGAGGAGACTACAAAAAAATACATAAATAAAATAAAACATTCTGAACAACTAATTTACTCACAAGCACCTACTGAAAACCTTACACTATAAATGCAATGCACAGGAAATATGTAAGTGCAGACAGCCCCTCTCTCCCCACTACTAACAAGGTTTAGAAGTCAGAAACAAACTGTTACATGAATGCAGTGTCCTGTATTTTGGGCCCACAGCTGCTGATTCACAATATTGGCTGAAAAGAGCTTCTCTTTTCCAGGCTTTGAGTAATAAATAATACCTGGTGAAAGGGCCGAAATTATGGGAGTATACAGGTAATTTTCTTTTGAAGGTCCAGGGTCTACATCTGTAGCATAGGTTTACTGCTGTCAATCCAGCAGAGCAGCTGATGAGGAATACAGGCGATGTGAAAAGGCCTTGCCAGGATCCAAACTCAGCAGGTAATGTTCAGGGCATGTCAGCTGAACCCATGTCCATTCACTCCCAGGCTGTTTATACCATCCACAGGGAACACATTTTATTCTTTGACTGTTTTAGGCCATCTTCCAAGACAAAGAAGTACCTTGTGATCTGATTATGTATGAGATGACACTCGTACTTCTTCCTTCCCTCCCCTCTACCATCCCGTATCACATGTACTTCTTTCTGAAAAGCCTAAGTCTAAGACCTAAGGAGTCATATTTCTAAATTTGCCCCTTCTGAGTCCTGGGGGGAGGGCAGTAGCAGCACAGAGCAGCAGACAGAGCTGGCCTTGAGACCTGGTGAGCTGGTGACCTTTTAAGTGACTCTCAAAACTTCTCTGAGCTCTAGTTTCTTCATGGGAATACTATCACCCCTTCCTTCCAGGGTTGTTGTGAGGACAGAGACAGTAGGTCAAAGAAAACCCTGAGCACAGCACTCGGCATACAGCCTTCTTTCCTCGTGTCTGTCCCATGTGTCTGCTTCTGCTCCAATGCCATCAATTCAAGGACTCAAGGTCTGAAGACTCTCCATAGCCCTGAACCAGGCTGCCGAGAGTACAAGAAAATCACCACCATCCCAAATTCTGCCCCTTCTTGAAACTGGAACGCAGCTCTCAAAAGGGTTTAGGAAAGTTTCTTTATAGATCTTCTCAAGGTAAACACAGTGAATGACATAGGTATGGCTGCCAGAGATACAGATGTGAGCTGGAAAGCCAAGTGCCACTGCTAGTGTGGGCCTCACTGGAAAAATTATCTCCAAAGAGCTTTCTGGGATTAGCTCCGACTGTCTACTCCCCTCCACTTAATTGATCTTCACAAGGTAGCAGGCCCAGGCAGCACCATCATCCCTAGCAAACACTAGAAAAAAGAATGATGTAATTTTCCAGTACGTCTGCAGGAATGTCTAAAACCACTAGGTCTCAAGCAAGATAATGGAATAATGAACCCTCAACTTAGGTCACTTATTCTCAACCCAGAACATACAGTCCCACTTCTGAGAGGGCTATTCCATGGCTGTAAACAGGATAAAGCAACATTTTAGCATTTTTCAAGATGTTTGCTTGGAGGAGGAACACAGGAGGATCTGAATTTTCTTAACACTCTCCCAAGAGCTGACCATTTTTTTCCTGGCATTGTTACAATTCAGGACACAACTAAGAAATCTTCAAAAGCAAGCAAACCATCCCCACAATCAATGTTTTATTAGTGCTTTATATCTCCAGAACCAAAATACACATGTACTATGCGATGTTTAAGCAGACCCTTCCAGCTACCCAGCACTATGCAGTCCTCCATATGAAATAGTTCAGTAAAGCTACCTGCTGCTAGTCATTAACATCTTTTCCCTCTAAGAAAGATGAGGCCTACTTAACATGCACATTTAATTTCCAAGGTGTGATTTGCTAGAGACAAGAAGATCCTTTAACAGGGCAAAACTACTCTCTGCACTTGATGGGAAGCAAGGAGACAAATGGGAAAGGAGGAAAAGAGGGCAGAAGAAGGACCCACATTTAAGATGTATCATATCAGACCTCTGAGAGACCATCTCTTCTTGAACCTCATCAAATATTATTCTATTATAAGGAAACTATATCCATTCCACAGAAGGAGAACCAGACTGGTTATTAACTTGCCACAAGTTGCACGACTAGCAAATAGGAAGAGCAAGGATCTGAGCCAAGGTCTGGATGCAAAAGCCCATGTTTTCCAACTGATTCCAGTTGCTTAGAAGATATCAGAGGAAATTAACTTAATGCTAATACTACTATTTGTACTCAAAGACTGGAATGACAGACAACAAAGGTAGTGACAGAAGAAATAAACTTCATTTTAAAAAATTGGTTAAGAAAGTTTAAAGCCTATTTTCAAATGTATCTAATCTCAGGGTGCCCAAATCTGATTTCACTGAATGTACAGGTGGCTGTAAGCTCGAGAAACAAGCCCATTATCCCTGTTTTGATGGCTGCTACTTGTCAGGAGTAATTCCCTCATGGTCTAACACTGAAAGTCAGATTACGTTAGGGATGATCTGAGTGCAACAGAGGAAAAGCCACCATCCTTCACTTTCTAAATGAGAAGCCAGTCTGTCACTGTAGCTCAAGGAACTCCTGCCCACTCCTGTAAGTCCCTTGTTCTGTGGTAGGCACCACAAGAATATCCGAGCTCTTGCTTGGAGATTAAGCATTCCCTGTCTCAGAAGGATCCCTCACACAGGGCCTCACTAGGCTGGCAGAGGGGTAGAGTACTGCAGAATGTAATGTCCAGGTATAGGTAACAGGCTCAACTCTGACACTAAGCCAAACTAGGAAGCCTCACAGAAATCTCACCCACCTCTAATCCACAGCATTCTTCATGTCAAAAATAAGCTGTCATTTGCTTTAGGATCTGAAATTAATTGGAACAAATGGAACTAAAATCATCAAACCAGTACTTAAAGTGTCTCAGAAAAGCCACTGAGGATATCCTGTAGCCTGTGTAGGCTCAAAACTATTTCCTGGGGCTGGCCCGGTGGTGCAGTGGTTAAGTGCGCATGTTCCGCTTTGGTGGCCCGGGGTTCACCAGTTCGGATCCTGGGTGCAGACATGGCACTGCTTGGCAAGCCAGGCTGTGGTATGCGTCCCACATATAAAGTAGAGGAAGATGGGCACGGATGTTAGTTCAGGGCCAGTCTTCCTCAGCAGAAAGAGGAGGACTGGCAGTAGTTAGCTCAGGGCTAATCTTCCTCAAAAAAAAAAAAACCCAACTATTTCCTGAGGTTTGTGACACAAAGGACATCACAAAGGTTGCTTCATATGGCAGCACATAGTCTGTGTCATAGAAGAACCACAGGTTTCAGAAAACTCAGTAGAAGGGAGATTGCATTTTTAGAGAGATAAGAAGAATCTTATTTCTAAAGGCCTTTAAAAAATAGTCTCTAACTTTACCTATAAAACCAAATACAAAAAATCCTGATGTTCAAAAAGTCCTCTGATGCTAACCTAAAATATACTCTTTCTGGAGACTGCAAAGGTCTTTTTAAGTACATGCAACATTATAGTACAGGGGTTAATTCCTGGCACAACTGATGAACATTTAATAGAGACCACCATAAATAAGACAAAAAAAGAGTAAAATATGTCCATTAATTTGGAGCCAATATCTTGCAAATTCCACGTATCAGATCATTTTCACTAAAAGGGTGAGCTATACCTGCTTCTTTTCAAGTCTGGGATGCTCTGCTGGCTAGAAATCTGCAACAATCCTGAACACAAACCAAAGCAATCAAGAAAGCAGAAAAGACTATTTTAAACACAAAAGTGGAAGGCAAGCACCCTGGAAGACCAACTGTCCCTGAGGTGACCTCCCACTGAAAAGTCTCTGTCTAAGGGCCAGCAGGTTAAGTCAAACACAATCAAAAAACAAGTTCAGTTATTACTGTTCTTCCAAACCTGGCAGCACTAGATTATCAAGACCAAGTTTCAGAATCAAAGAAAATGTACTTGGTAACTGACTAGCGCTGGAGATTCTCCCATTCAAACACTGACCCAGCAATCCCTGCCAGTCAGCATCTCCCAAAGCACCAACCTCTGGAGGTGACTGATTGATTAGGGATGCTATTTCAGTAAACAAATCAGCTACCACTCACCTGTTCACTGTAGAGAACCTGGACATTTTTGATGATGCGACAGTGCTTCTGAAGAATGGCTACTGCCTGAGCCAAAGGCATTCCTGAAATAAAGCAAAGATGCTGGTGTGCTTACTTGGGCTATCCATTTACTGACATCTATCATCGTACCATGCATTAGTCCCTGAAGTAAAGCGTGGGGTGGGAATGGGGGCCACAAAGCTCTACAGACATATGAGTAAATAAAAGTTCAATAAGCAATAAGAACTAGAATAAAGTTAGCAACAAGCACTAAGGGAATAACTGGATTATATAACAGGAGAGAGTGAATATACAAAACTGCTTCCCGGAAATGGGGACTTCTGTGCTGATCTGAAGCAGGCAAAGGGCTGGGAGAAGGCAAAGTCAGCATAAATCAAAGAACAGAGTGAGAAAAGCACTGACTGCATGACTCTGGAGACCCAGGTTCTGGTTCTCACTCTGCCAGGTTCTGGTTCTCACTCTGCCATGGATTACGTATAACCTAGGGCAGGTCCTCCTGCTCTTCCTTTTTGGCATCTGCTCCTTGCCTCTCATATGAGAGCCTCCAGGAGCACATGACTTGTAAGGGCTCGTTTACATAGTTAAAAATCACATGTTTACCAGAATCAACTTATTTTACTAAAGATTTCGTTGGATCCTTACGTATCAACCCATAAACATCCTCTAAATCTCAACACTTGATTTTTGAACTCATGGCCCATTATAAACAAATTTATATATGCCTCCAGTTTAAGAAATCCAAATCCCAATGACATCTCAAAGATTCCAGGGACTCACAGGGAACACCAAAAACTATGTTTTTGGAGCCCATTACATTTCAAACAAGAAGAAACTTAGAGAGGGACAATTCAAAACAAAGTCCCAGACAAGCCAAAAATAAAGACTCAGCTTCATGAATGCAAGGACAGGGAATGTATGCTATTCACCACTCTCTGGATCCCCAGCACCCAGTACAGGGCTGACCACATAGTGGCTGTTGAATAAATATTTATTCACTGGGACTGAAGGATTATGGGGTTGGTAATAAGGAAAGGGAGGAAGAGGGATTACCATATGACCTCTGGGCAGCACAGTGGCTCACATTCAAGATCAGTTTACCTCTGACTCAAGGAGAGATGTGCAGAAAAGAGTGTGCACACAACAATTAGAAAGTTAAAAACATGTGGTCCATCTACATTTAAACAATGATCCAACCATGCCTTCACTTGATCCATCTACGTTTGAAGAAAGGAAGGAAACCAGACCTTAAATAAGGTACTTTTCAGTCTTCTATAGTATACAGCCTGGCACACAGTAGAGGCTTCATAAGTGTTTGTTGAGTATATGAACAAGTTGGATGCATCACTCAGCTCTGCCATTCCTGAAATGGAAGAGCATCTATGTTCTCTCCCCCAGAGGGAAGGGGCAAACATCCATGTGTGGAAGACAGACAAGCTCGGTTAGGTGTTCAGAAAAAGGCCACGTGGCTTCTCTGACCCCTGTGACACAAACTAGTTTCTTTTTTTTTTTTTAAAGATTTTATTTTTTCCTTTTTCTCCCCAAAGCCCTCTGGTACATGGTTGTAAATTCTCAGTTGTGGGTCCTTCTAGTTGTGGCATGTGGGATGCTGCCTCAACGTGGCTTGATGAGCGGTGCCGTGTCTGTGCCTAGGATTTGAACTGATGAAACACTGGGCCGCTGCAGCGGAGCGTGCAAATTTAACCGCTTGGCCACAGGGCCGGCCCCCACAAATCAGCTTCTTGAGGGAAGGTTCTCTTCCATGTAGCCACAGATTCCTGGCCTTGGAATCTTCAGGTCCTGAGTCATCCAGGGAGAAACCCACATGGAGGACAAAAAGCAGCCATGATGACCAGTCATCATGTAGCTGCTGGTAAAGGAAGGGAACCAACCACATTTATGGCAAAAAAACTGGAGCATTGTCCCAGCTCTAACAAGAGTTACCTAACCCCAAAGCGAGTGTGGAGTATATGGTCAGCCTGATAAACTGCACAAATCCTATGACTCACAGATCTCATCATTTGCCTGCTTATAACCCTCTAATGGCTTCCCATTACAGGGGGATAAAACCCAAACAACATGCCATCCCCTAAAGGTCCCGAATATTCTCGACCTAGTCCACCTCCACCTTTCTTTTCACTGCTCACCACACCTCCCTTTGTTCCTAGCACATGTGAAGCTCTTTCCCGCCTTAGGCCTTTGCATCAGCTCTTGACTCTACTGGAATGTTCTTCCCATAGCTGGTGCCTTCTCATTCTTCAGGTGGTGCTCACACCTCACTTCCCTGATCACCTTATCTAATAAAGCCTCCCATTCAACTTATTTATCTGTTGGAGTCTCCTTGATGCCTCCTTGAGGACAGAGATGTTGTCTCACTCACTGCTGTATCCCCAGCACTCAATCACCATGCCTGGCACAATAGTAGGTGGTCCTATATATCTGCTGAGCTCTGAATGAGTGAAACAAAGCAATTAGGTAGAACACGTAGGTCCTCTACCATAGAACCTAGTGACCACCCTCCCACTCAGAGAACTCTCATCCTGTCTCTCAACACTACTCTCTTCTGCTGTTCCTCTAACTTTTCCAGGTCTCTATGATGGGCAATATTTCCTTCTGCCCATCCCTCATTCATTCATTCAACCAACCACCTAGTTGCTGACTCACACTTCAATCTGTTTTCTATATATATCTAAAGGCAAATAAAAAGTTGACAGATTAAAAGTGACTTTTTCACCTTCTCTTTAATCTAGTTTCTCATCAGTATTCTGAACTTCAATGTGTCTAACATCTATCCAGTCACTCAAGCCAGAAATCTCTAGATTCCTCCTCCTTCCCCATTTCTCCAAATCTAGCCTCCAAACTTTCCTCCTAAGCCCATGCCCACAACACACATTACTAATAGATATCCTCTTTTCTATTGAACCTGGAGACTCCCTGACAGTATCCCAGGCAGTTACTACCAAAGAGATTTGGGAATCTGGGGAACCTCTTTTCTTCTTCCACCAGTACATCATGTTCTAATTATAATACCAAATTGTTTATAGTTCCCTACACATACCATCTATCTTTCCCATTGTTTTCTTTTTAACTTGACTGGAAGACTTATGTCTATGGAGACAGTGTAGATGAGAAATCTGACAGTAGACTTTTGATAAGGACTTCCTGGTGCTCACTGGCTCCAGGAATGGTACAGGCTCCTGTAAGTTGAAAGGAAGCCCTCCCTGAACCCCCAAGTCAGGGCAAGTCCCTTCCCCCATGCCATAGCACCCTATACAACCTCTACCTCATTATAATAAAATGAACTATTTCTTTCTTTTTTTTGGAGGAAAATTAGCCCTGAGCTAACATCTGCTGCCAGTCCTCCTCTTTTTGCTGAGGAAGAGTGGCCCTGAGCACACATCCGTGCCCATCTTCCTCTACTTTATATGTGGGATGCCTACCACAGCATGGCTTGCCAAGAGGTGCCATGTCTGCACCTGGGATCTGAATGGGCGAACCCCCAGGCCGCCGAAGCAGAACGTATGCTCTTAACCACTGCGCCATCAGGCCGGCCCCAGAAATGAATTATTTCTATAACCCTTCCCTTCCACTAGACTAAGCTCTTCAGGGCATAAGACTATTTCTTAGTCAATTTTCAATGTTTGTAAGCAGAGTCCTCAGAAGTACACGCTGCCTTCAACAAAGTGAGCCTTCAGTCTCTCTGGAACAAGGTAATCTCAGAGAAGGCTATTCTCCAGTGACTCTTTAAATCTACCCTCTTTGGATATTTTCAAAAATAAACTCAAGAGAGGAGCCGGCCCAGTGGCATAGCGGTTAAGTTCGTGTGCTCTGCCTCAGCGGCCTGGGGTTCGCTGGTTGGGATCCCAGGCACGGACACATGCACCCTTATCAAGCCAGGCTGTGGCAGGTGTCCCAGATATAAAGTAGAGGAATATGGGCATGGATGTTAGCTCAGGGCCAGTCTTCCTCAGCAAAAAGAGGAGGATTGGAGGCAGATGTTAGCTCAGGGCTAATCTTCCTCAAAAATTAAAAATAAACTCAGAGACATGCCTCCACACCAATACAATCTACAAGTCTCATTGGAAACATTTCAAATTTACACTGCCTTTACTCCACCACTGGTCAAGCCATCCCACTGATTCTCAGAGATTCCTCTCAGCCTAGGTTTTCCTGTCCCTCTATTGTTGGCATTTCTCTAATCTTCAATATTACACAAAGGGCAGGAAGGCAGCCAAAAGCTGGATGCAGCTCGCCACTATGATGCCACGCAGATGATGGAAAGGACTAGATAGATCTGCATTTGCACAGATTCCAAAAAGAAACCTGGAGACAAAGCTGAGCCCGTTCCCAGAAGGGGAGAAGAGTAGTAGGAAGCAGGAAATCTGTTTAGCTACTTTTCATCACCTCTACCTTCTGAGCCTGTTCCTCATCTGGCAAGTGGAGACTACCTTACAGGATTGTGGTGACTTTAGTTAAGCACCGCCTGTTTTTCTAGCCTAGGAATGCAATTCTAAAGCACAGATCCACTTCTTAGACCTATCCCTACCTATCAGCCCGAAGTGCAGTTTAGATGTGTTTCAGGGCTGGGGATAAGATTGAGAGAGAGGGAAAAATAACTTTTTTTTTTTTTAAGCTTGGGGAAGTTAAATGACCACCATCTCTCAGGCAGACACGACTTAAACAACATGGATTTTTTTTTTTTTTTTAAGATTTTATTTTTCCTTTTTCTCCCCAAAGCCCCCTGTATATTCTTAGTTATGGGTCCTTCTAGTTGTGGTGTGTGAGATGCCTCCTCAGCATGGCCTGATGAGCGGTGCCATGTCCACACCCAGGATTCGAACCAGCGGAAGCCTGGGCTGCAGAAGCGGAGCACACGAACCTAACCACTTGGCCACGGGGCCAGCCCCAAAAACCATGGATTTTTAAGACCCACAAAGAAATCATCAAGGCTCAGGACCCCTCTAGGAGCTTTCCCTCAAAGCTCAATTCTGGGCCCAACGTAAAGAAATGCTCTTTTCATTGTTTTTGGTTGCTATTTAGACAGTTTGAAACAACCACGCAAACCCTTGGTTCCTACAAACTGGCAAAGTTAAGAGCGAGGGTTAAGGTATCCAAATAATAGTTGACAGAAGCAGCCTTGCTCTGCCACCCAGTTTTTTAGTGACATCCTCATCACTACTTTTGGCCAAGAGACTCTGTACCACAGAGATCGACAACCTAGTCACAACATCAAGCACAGTTTGAAGCTATGGTTGTGGTTCTCACTGTGCCCTGTGAAGTCCTGGTAAGAGCAGAAGCTGTGGTTAGGGGTTCTTTCCTAACTACAAGCCAAACAGCATCAGCAAGATGAATGAGTCTGGAGGCAAAGATAGCACTAGCCTCCCAATCAAGCCTTGGTTCTTCACAAGAGGCTGGAGTGTTTCATACCACCTAAAACTTTGGGAAGAACTCTGCAGGAGTGGTGTAAGTTATGAGAGAAGCTGGCAAAGACCTCTCAATAAAACTGGCTCCTATAACCCAGACGAGGCTTGTAACTCACGCAGACACGGAGCACCAGCAGGGCCCTACCAACAGTCTGTTCTGCAGTTTCTCACCTACCCTGTCCCCACAGACATGAGTCTTCCAGGTTCAAGGATAAGCTAGAGCCCAATGGAGCAGCTGACTCTATCCAGGAGCCCAAATTAGTAAGACAAAAGTTCAGGTCTGCACAAACAAACAGCACTAACACCTGCTTCCAACCCCCTTTTCCTAGTGCTGGCACATCAAAGTAAACACACACTGGGGTTACTGAATGCAAATACTTGTGCACATAAAAGTAGTGACGTTGGGGATAGGGAAAACTGAGCCAAAAACCAAAAAAAAGGACTAAACTGCGTTTTCCACAAACTAAATGCTACTTTCCCTGAACTCCTATTTCATTCAACCCTTAACTCTCTCAGCCAAAGTCTGGGTTTAGGATTACGCCACACATCGACCATATTAAAAAGGAGAAGGAAACAAGTCAGGAGTTCCTTTAACACACACAAACTCTCTTCAACTCCCCGGACCAGATCCCCAACACCTGATCATGGGATCGGAGCCTGGATTTCCCCTTCCGAAGAGGCAACACGGCCCAGAAAAGCAAAGGGAGACAGACCACAGTGGCGTTCACGGGTGTCAGCCACTCTTCGCTATTTAGTCTGTAAAAGGGGAAGAGGAATAACAATAGCACCGACCCTCAGACCCACGGAGGCACATTTGAGATAATTACGCGCGAGACAGCAGGGCCCGGCCCTGAGTAAGTGTTTGGGGCGGGTCGGCCATTGTTATTATTATTATTACCGTACACTGCCCCGGAAGGGGCCCTGCTGAGGCCCGAGGCGAGGCGTCAGGGCCCAGCCGAGCGACACACCGGAGGGTCGGGCTGGTCGGAGGGAGGATCCAGTGCCTGGATCCCGAGGAGCTGCGGAGCCGCGGGCGCAGGGGACGAAGGGGCAGAGACCAGAGGTGGGAAGGGCCCCGAGGGATGAAAGGCCCAGCGATAGGGTCCTGAGGGAGGACCCCACACTCACCCAGCGTGAATTCCCATTGCTCGTTCCCCAGAGAGCGCTCGGGCACCACCTCCAGATCCAGCATTGGTTCGGCTCGCCGGGCCAGGGCGGCCTCCCTGCAGCAGCGCAGACAGGGCCGGAGCTGAGGAGACAAAGCGGCAGCTGAACCGCCGTCCCCGCCAGCCCGCGGCGGCCCGGCTCTCCACCTCCTCCGGGGTCGCCGGGGCCACCAACCCAACACCACACCTCACCTCACCTCACCGGCAAGAGCCGCGACGGCAGGAGCAGCAGCGGCAGCGGGAGCGTCTGCAGCAAAACTGGCGTGCCCGGCCGTAAAGTGTGGCGAGGGCGGGGCGGAGGCGGGGTTTCAATCGCAGGGGAGGAGCCTAAGGCGGAGTCGCGCACGCGCCAATTCCGGGTCATGTGGCTGTGACAGTTCCGACGAAGGCTGAGGGAGGCCTGACGGTCCCATCGCGAAGGGCAGGCGCTCTTGGAATGAGGAGCCCTATATTCTATGAACCCCCACATCTGCACACCACACCGCACACGTTTCACACGTCTACACAAGGATGTGTACTCCGCGCAACACACACATGTGACATGACTATACAACACCCGTCTGCCCTCCGCACGTACGTCCCGCTCACATCCACTGGGTGCAGAAAGCCAGTTCCACGAGCAGATGCGGAGTCCAGGAGCCCCCTGGCCCGCGGGCGCCCTCCTACTCCGTGTTGGGGCCGAGGCTGACGCCGGTGGCGCTGCCTCTGGTTGTCCAGGAACGACTCGTTCCCCACCCTGCTGCCCCTGGCGCTCGGGTCCAACTCAAAGCGAGTGAGGAGTGTGCTCGCGCGCGCGTGTAGGGGCGGGGGAGGGCGCGGTTGCAGAGTAGAGTAGGTAGAAGGGGGAGGAGCCGGGCCTCCCGGCTGACCACATCCAGATGTGCGCAGCCCCCGGAAGCCGCGGGCAGCAGCTCAGACTCCAGCCAAATCCAGCTTTGCCGCCAGCGCTGAGTGGTCTTGACCAAACCTCTGGTGCCCTTTGTGCCTCAGTTTCCTCACGAAGTCGGAGGAGGGGGCTTCTGTAGCCTGCTCAGCCGGAGCTTTTTGTTGTTGCCCTGAGGCACTCTAAAATTAAAAGGCAACCAGGGCTCTCCTGAAGCCAAGCCTTCAAGGAAACCGTCTCTGGATTCCCAAAACCACGCTGAGACGTAAGATTATACCTCGCTACACAGGCGGGAAAAACGAGGCCCAGAGAAATTAAAGGCCTTGTGGTCCCAGGCGGTAGAAGCCAAGTTCTTTCCATTACATTGCCCCTCGAGGAAGGTTTTTAGCAGGGGAGAGAGTGGCATGCTAAATTCTCAATCTGGCTTGGTAGGAGTGTAACTTGGGAGGGTCAATCAAAACTTGAAGTCACTGCTACTGACATTAAAACAAACATGGAGAAGGATGTCCATTGCAGTATCATACGCCAAAACAATAGAACTGAAACACTGAGATGTCCATCAGTAGGGAAGTAGCTAACTAAATTCTGATAAATATAATAGGATACGCTTAAAAAATGAAGTATATCCCTATATGCTGATAGGGAAGGAGCTCAAAGAGAAAAAAGCCAAGTGCAAATTGAATAGTATGACCCTTTTTTCTGTAAAAACAGAAATAAAAGAAACATTGGCCATACCAAAAAGGGAGAACATTTCTGGAAAGATAAAAAATTAATAATATCTAACTTGGGGAGAGGGGTAGGCATCAGGAGGACATTTACCTCTTATCATACATGGCAAGTATTAAAGATGTGGGGGTCACCCCATGGCATAGTGGTTAAGTTTGCACGCTGTGCTTGGCTGGCCACGGGTTGGGAGGTTCGGTCCTGGCACAGACCCAACACTGCTTGGCATGCCACGCTGTGGTGGCGTCCCATGTAAAATAGAGGAAGATTGGCTCTGAGCTACCATGTGTTGCCAGTCTTCCTCACACACACACACGCACACACACAAAGTATTAAAGACGTGTTTAGGGGAGGTTAGTTGGGTAGTTGGCCTACGTAGGGTGGATGGAGATCTGGAAAAAAAACATCTAAAGTTGGGGAGGAGTAATCTTAGTCAATTTAAAATGTCTGAATTGCACTCAAATCCAGCCAGACTAGGAATGGTTCTTCTATTTAAGAAAACACTTAGGGGCTGGCATGGTTGCACAGAGGTTAAGTTCACACCTTCCGCTTTGGTGGCCTTGGGTTCACTAGTTTGGATCCTGGGTGCGGACATGGCACCGCTTGGCAAGCCATGCTGTGGTAGGCGTCCCACATGTAAAATAGAGAAAGATGGGCACAGATGTTAGCTCAGGGCCAGTCTTCCTCAGCAAAAAGAGGAGGATTGGCAGCAGATGTTAGCTCAGAGCTAATCTTCCTCAAAAAAAAAAAAAAAAAAACCCACACTTGGTAGGATTTATTTCTGGTGGACAAAGAGGGGTGGGGCAGGCAGGGTAGGGGAGAGGGTGACTGGTACACAGAGTAGAAGGAGGAGCTGCTTCAGGGAAGTGGGCCAACTTGGGAGGATGTCAGCAACTGCCATTCCCCAAAAGTGAGGGTGGGGGTGTTCAGAAATACTGATCTGGCTGCTGGTGGACTGCTAAGAGTGTATGCAGGGAGCACAGGTAGTCATCCTGGCAGTCCAAGCCAGACAGGCAGGAACAGCCTCAGGTCAGAGTATAGTGGTTAAGCACATGGACAGGGAAATCTGAATCCCAGTTCTGCCATTTAATAGTTTTGTGCCTTGAGTAAATTACTTAAGTTCTCTATGCCTTAGTTTCCTCATCTGTAAAATGGTCATATCTCAAGTTTTATTAGAACTGCACTTATAAGAGTTTCTGACTTCCAGGTAAATGCTTTGTAAAAAATCGAATAGTGACAGAGAATTGATGGAATCCATTGGCAGGATCTAGATTGGATGTAAGGAAGAAAAGAAGTCAAGAATAAAATAAGGAAGACAAGGAAGAAAATGACTCAAGAAGAAAAACACACGTTTCCAGCCTCGGTAGCTGTATGGATGGTGGTGTCACTCAAGTCAGGAAAGTGGTTGGGGGAACTGACATTGGAGGCTGGAAGGACACCAATCCTTCTGTTAAAACTGTCATACATGATAACTTAGAAGGCAGGAAATGTACCAAGTTTGAAGCCCTAGGTGTAGAGCTTGGAAATCAGAATCTTAGTACCATGGTTACTATTGGTTATATTTGTGAAGGTACCAACAACAAAAAAAGCCAGTTTGAAGGCAGAAATAAAAGGTAACTGCATCCACCAAGTCAGGGATGGGGTCAAGGGTCATGGAAACAATGGATTGGGGAGGCCCTCCCAATCAGCCTTACAAAGAACACTCCCCTCTCAGGGTAGAGAGCCCTCAAATTGTCCCCAACAATTCATAATTGTTATAGACCAGTGACTTTATTCTTCCCTTCTGAATGGAAGTGTTTCCTATAGTTTTCCTGCCCCTATTCCACCACTGTACACTGGCTGTGTGCAGGGCAGATAACAACATACCCTAGAATTTCAGCTCCATGCCTGACCAGCTGGTACTTTTAGGTTCTCTCCCATGGTAGATAGATATTCTTGAGGGAAGGAGAGTAAAATTAAATATTTAACAATTGAAAGGGAGACCTGTGTTAATCATTAGGGCTATCACAAATATTCTGACTCTTTCCTGGGCAAAAGGTAGGATTGCAGTTCCCTGCCCTGTGATTTGCTAGGTGCAATGAAATGTAAATACAAGTCACATATGTCAATTTCAGGCAAATTTGAAAAGTCAGTGCCTCTTCATTACACTGTCTTCTTGGCTCTGTCACACAGCTGGCAATGTTCCAGTGACTGCTCTGTAGGCCCAGGTCAACCACTGATGGCTGTTTAGAAATTAAGAGTTCTTTAAGCCAATAAAATTTGGGGGGTATTAAGGCAACACGATAAGCCTACCCTGGTAAGAGAAACTGGGAAAATTATCGGTTATGCCTCCTGTACTTTTTTCTCAGGTTCCAAATGTCTCCATGCCCAGTAAACTACCCTTAATCTCCCTACTGGGTCACCATTTGATTGAGGGGACCGACTTCCTGCTTCTAGTCTTGTTCTCTCCAATCAACCAAAAGGAGCTTTAACAAGCACCCATTCCCACCAATTCACAACCCCTGAGTGGCTTCCTGTTTGTCCTTGGAAACAGTCCCAACATTTTAACATGGCTGAAAACGCCCATTGAGCACTGCTTGTGAGCCTCACCCTCATACGTAACTGCTCTTAGTTTCTCAAAATTGCCACCATCTTCCCTGGCTACCTGTAATACTTTTGTCACCTTCTCTTTGTTGGGCTAATGCCTGCCATCCTTCAGATCTCAGCTCAAATGTCTCAGGGAAGCCTTTTATGACCACCCAAGACTAGATTAGATGTACCCCGTAACAGTGAGTACTTTCAATATAACTTAAACTGTGTTACTGCTTTTGGTCACTTTTTGAATTAGACTGTAGGTTCCCTGAAAGCAGGTACCATGTCTATTTTGGGTAGTGGATAAACATTTTTTTCCTAAATGATCCTAGGGGGTAAAATAATCATACTTTGTTTTAATCTTTTTTAAACAGTAATATAAGCCTTGACATTTTCCTTTTTTTAAAAAACTTTTTCTTTTGGTTGCATGATCTATGTCCTTTGCTCACTTACAATCTTAATATTGATGTGAGCCAATATAGGCAATTAAAAATTTCCTAGTAGCCACATTAAAAAGGAAAAAAATAAAATTAATTTTAATATATTTTATTTAACCCAATATAAAGTATCAATATAATCCAGTATATAAAAATATATTTTAACATGTAATCAAAACAAAAATATATTTAGCAAAAATTTTAATAAACTAGTGAAATATCTTACATTCTTTTTTTACTAGATCTTTGATATCTGGTATTTACACTAGCAGTACATCTCAATTCAGACGATAAATTTTCATAGGCTAAAATGAAACATAGTCCTCCTAAAACAAAGTTTTGTTTAACAGAAAAATATTTAACATTGCCTCCGTTTTTACATCTAAATTTAAAAGATAAAAAGTTCAGTTTCTCAGTTGTACTAGCCACATTTCAAGTGCTTAATAGCCACACATGGCTAGTACCTACCATACTGGACATCAAGGACTTAGATTATCTTCTCTCATAAAACATTTCCCTCTGTATCTTATCTACTCACATTTCCCAATGTTTCTGAGACCTGAATAAGGCCAATAATGCCCTTAACTCTAAGTTGTTTATTCTAACCAAAAGCTGAGAGCTAATACAATGACTGAGTTATCTGTTTTAGAGCACCTATATTTAAACAAACCAAACAGCCATTTCCACCCATGATCCCACCCTACAACTGTAATTTTCTAGCCTTGAAAGATTTTTGAAATGCCATATATGTATATATGATGGTGATGCAGTAAAGGGAATTGATGTTATCTAGGGGGCATCATGCCTTGAAATCTGCCTGCAAGACTGAAATCTTATCTTTAAAGAATGTTTGGGAGATCGAAACACCAATGTTATCTTGTAAATACTGTTATATATAGATATATACATACAGATGTGGCAATATGGCTGTGGTGGTTTTAAAAATATGTCCACAAACTCTTTGACACTCCACCCTTCAAGAGATGAAGCTTAATACTCTTCCCTTCTCGGGTGGGCCTGACCCAGAGTGACTCACTTCTAACATATAGAACATGGCAGCTCAGGATTAGGTTATTAAAAAGACTGTGTCTTTCATCTTGGGCACGCACTCTTTCTTGGATCATTCCCTTTGGGGGAAGCCAGC